TTGTAACCCAACCAGGACGTTATAAATTGGCGGAACTCCGGATAGCGCGGTTTTCCTCGGGAATCTTGGCATGATATCCACTTGTCGTGAAGAAGAGTGAGAAATTCGTCGTAGTTAATGTGACCTTGAAAAATACGAGTGGTCACTTAATTTAAATATTCAAATATTTAAATACTTAAAAAATTGTTTATATGCAAATTTTCGGATCAGCTTAAGGTTTGGTAATTTATGACAACGAAAATACTGAATGAACTTTGTACCGTACTGCTTTTTAAAGAAATTCTAATTTGGCATATTTAGTTACTCTCACCTTGAAGAGTGATTTGCAGGATTGCTGCACTTTTGGCATCGCCAGGACCATCGACCTGTGCAAAAACGGAGCTGGTACATGCTACAATGTCGTCCAAGTCAGGGCGCAGAAATGGTCGCAAACCTTTAGCGATTGATCGCCATATCAATGTTGGGATGAAGAAGGGGAGGATAATTAGTGAAATTAGGGAGACACTAAGTCCCAGAAGGGTCAAGTATAACTTCCACAGCTGAAGACACACCCATTCCCGAGGCGTCATAATTACAAAATTATCTATGCGATTCTGGGGAAATTTGTCGTTTCGAGATAAAAATTCAACTCAAAAAGAAAACTACTAGGCCTAATTATTTAGATTGTAGAGTATGTAATTATTATTTATGCATGTAATTGGTTTTACCTACCGGAAAATTTCTAACTCGCTAAAGAATAACCATTTCCTGACTTGAGAAGTAGAGACAATGATTAAATATAAATACTTTGGTCCGATTTAATAAAAAGAGTATTAGTATAACACAATATGTAGGTACATGTGCATGTAGATACATACATATGTACATACGTATTATGTATTCTGATAATTATTGAGGAAAATGTTGGGTATACAATGAGATAGTGTTTTTTTCATCGCCCAACGATTTTCGAGTTTGATAGCTTAAAGTTTGCGTAATTTTTTGTAGATAAAGAATTCGTAATAGAGACGGGGGGGCCACCAGTGGTTTTCGAGATCTTAGCCAAAATGTGCGTGTTTTTTTTGCTAATTATGGCTTTTGACTCAAACTCGTCCTAATATTGACCAAATATCACCGGAAATTATTTTAAAAATAATTTTGGACCAGAATTTGGCCGCTGCTTCGATTTCGGACCCCAGTTTTCCTGTATGAAGATGTTTGCAAAATAATTGCATTTTCCCTATTAGCAATCCACGATCGAATTATGGAATTTTGGCTAGTATATTAAGTTAACCCATAAGTCGAATGATGGAACTGACTCATTTGATAAAGTCAGCAACTTATAACCCATTTTATAAACAACCAGGAATGCTGTTAGTAATTCGAAATTATGTAAATTACTCTTCTATGGTTTTAATTATATTTTGCCACTGCCTTGAATTTGGAAAACACAGTAACAGCGCATTTTACTGCAAAATTTGAACGGAATCGAAATTCGAATTTAAATAATGATTTTCTGTTCAACATTACAACAGATTACATGCAATGTTGCCAATTCGTAATTCTGAAATTAATGCGAAGTTTTGTTAACCACTCGGAATTTTGTTAATGCCGCATAGACTTGTTAACCTTGAAATTCTTGCAGTTTTCAGGCGTGTGATAATGTTTGCATTCAGGATAAATTAGTGCGAGAACCGGTTCGGGGCAAGGAAAATAACGGAAAAAATGCGTCCATGAACGACGTTAAGCTGCAAAGCGATTGGATGGTGAACCACAATTATTTTATTATATTGTTAGTTTTATTTTGGCGTAGAAATCATACGAAATTGAATAATTTAAACACCAAAATAAAAATTAGTGGTACCAAATAATAAAATAATTCGGCTCATTCGACTAATGTAATCGCCGATCACTTATAACAAATGGCACCGTAACCTGCAATCACGTAAGGCATGTGTTGTATGTATAAAATTCTGCAGCTGAGGCTCACGTCGTTCATGGACACATTTTTTCCACGTTATCGTGCTTGCCGGACGGTTCACCTTAAATATTACACATCAAAGTAGTATGTATAGCACAAGCCCAAATGCAGAAAATCACATATCGCATGCAACATAACGACACTACATAAATTTTGCCTTCATCAAACTTGCTATAAATATTATTCTTCTTGCAACCACTGGTTGCTCCAAACCATTATTCAATTTCTATCCATAAAGCAAATATATTTAGCAATGTTTGAAATTATTGCTCTCTGTATCGTATTCCTATTATCATACATTTTATGGAGGGATAACTTTAGTGCATCACATAAAAATACAAATGCCCCAGGACCCATCAAATTTCCATTTCTTGGAAACATTCCACAAATTGCTCTTACAGGCGAGATTCTTCCATATATTGCGTTTGAAAAGTTATCTCATAAACATGGACCTATTATGAACCTCATACAACAAACTTAAAAAGATCAAACGGAAAGAGCACACAGAGGCGCTTCTGCAAAAAGTTATTAATGCAAAAAACCCCACACAATTTTGGGACTCAATCAAAATCTTTCGTCAGGCAAGAAAGTCTGTACCCAACAGCATCTCCAAGTACCAGTGGCATGAATTCTATTCCAACCTTTTTGCTAAAGAACTACCTACCCCCACAAATGACACCCACAAAAATCAACCAAACCAATGCCAGTCACAAAAAACTACACGACTCGAGAACATAAACCCAAACTCATCATCATGGCTAGACGACCCATTTGATGAGAATGAGTTAAGGACCACAATAAAGAAATTAAGCAATAATAAAACACTTGGTATAGATGGCATTCCCAACGAAGTGCTAAAAGCGATCTCAATTCGACACACTCCCCAACTACTCGAAATAATGAACAGAATCCTAGAAACAGGAGAAATCCCAGAGGACTGGTGCAAAACCCTTATACAACCAATATTCAAAAAAGGGGACAGAGAGGAACCAAGCAACTACAGGCCTATCTCCCTGCTATCAACACTATTAAAGCTATTGACCTCAATGATTGCAAGTCGTTTAGGAAGGTGGGGAGAGCAATTCGGCAAAATTTCCGAGGTGCAAGCTGGATTCAAAAAGGGGACGGGAACAATGGAACAAGTTTTCACGCTATACACCATCATTCAAAGCAAACTGAAAGACGTCGGAGGGAAACTCTACACAGCATTCGTTGACCTGAAGTCTGCCTTCGATTCTCCTCCTCACGATAAATTATGGAGAAAGATGGCATCCATCGGTATGGGAGAGAAAACGCTCCGTCTCGTAAAAAACCTTTACCACCAAGCAAATGGAGTCGTTCGAACGGGCGAAGGGCTAACTCCGTCATTCCCAATAGATAAAGGCGTCCTTCAAGGAGATTCGGCATCGCCATTAATCTTCAATTGCTTTATCGACTCCGTCGTCAAGGACCTCAATAACTCGGGAATCCAAGCAATACATATCGGGTCAGCCCTGCTTCATATTCTCATGTTTGCCGATGACGTGGTTTTGGTCGCCAACACTGCTTACCAGCTCCAGCAAAAGATTGATATCCTTGCAAATTCTTTCCGAGAAATGGGACTCACGGTCAACATCAGTAAAACCAAAGTTCTACTCTTCGCGAAGAGGAAACCTTCGTATTCTCTAAAATTCCACTGGGACGACGCACCATTAGAAACTGTGGACGAATACACATATCTGGGAGTCATCTTCCATCGCAACGGTCACTTTTCGAAAGCGACGTCTCACTTCATATACAAATCAGCCACCGCCTCTGCCCAAGTAATAGGAATATGTCAACGAGGAAAAATCCCATTAATCGACACTCACAAAAAACTTGTACAATCCCTTGTCAAATCCGTCTTCCTATACTGCTCTCCAATCTGGGCATTGAACCTCGACGAAAACACGATAGACCAGCCTCAGTGTCAATTCTGGAAACGAGTACTGCATTTACCTAAATCCACACCCGGATACGTCGTAAGACTTGAAACCGGAAGTGAGCACACTTCAATCCAAATTATAAAATCCACACTACGATTTATCTGCAAAATCCTCGCCAAGGACGACAACTCTGTACTTTCGCAATGTCTGAAGTGGCAACTGAGATGGGAGACAAGAATATCGTCAGCAAGACAAAATTGGGCAAAACAACTACAAAAGTGGCTACGACTTACGGATGACCACTCCATATTATCCCTTCCGTACAGCGAGCTAAAAACAGCTTTACCTCTGCGACTCAACACCATCATCTCTAAACTCAAAATACACTTTATTAACAAAGACGTTAAACGGATGACCGAATCAAAGTGGACCCCAGATTATGCTAAACTAAAAACCCACGCTACCACTGAACCTTATCTCTTCAACAGCAACGCTACTGAAGCCAAAATAATGGCGCAATCAAGGATAAACCTGCATCGAATTATCCTAAAAAGCAAAGTTGCACCCCTCCAAGACAAAGCGCCCTGCCCATGGTGTTCACTTACTACAGGAAACATAGATCATTACATCTTTGAATGTCCAGTACTCGAAACACCAAGAGCAGCTCTACCACAAACGTCGCAACAGACATTTATCGCCTTATTAAACGACAATAAAACACCTGAAGCAATCTACAAATCTATTTTTATCTTCTGGTCAGCAGCCTTTAACTTACTTCCAGACTAAACTGTACAAAATATTATTTATCATGCGCTGTGCAAAATATGTATGTATATGTATATGCCATCACTATTGACCCCCGTTCCTTCAATTAACTAGTATGTAACACGATCATGTAATGATCTTCATGAATGAACTTCTATCAAGAGATGACACATCAGACAGATTTGGACTAGAGATGATCAAAGAAAGAAACGGAACAGAAGAGTTGCGTAAGTTTCTGCAGACATTGGTCGTAGGAAGTCTACATTATAAGTTATTTATATAAAACGAGCTACATATGTACATGCATGAATATTTACTACTTATGTGTAGGATATGGAATTGTGATATGTAATGAGCTCCCGTGGAAAACAATGCGTCGCTTCTCCATTCAAAATCTGCGACAATTTGGTTTCGGCAAGAAAAAAACAATGGAAGGCGTCATGTTAGAAGAAGCGAAAGAGTTGATTAGCCGGACTAAAGAAAATGCTCGACAAAATGGTGGAGTTCTTACAGTCGACATGTTTTTTAGTCTGAGCATCATTAACGCGTTATGGGCAATGGTGACAGGGACAAGATTCAGTCATGATAACCCCAGACTTCTTCACGCCCTTAAACTTAACTCTGACCTGTTTAAGGCCACCACCTTTGTTGGCGATATTTCAATGGCGTTTCCCATTTTTCGTAAAATCCTTCCTTGGATAACTAACAAGGCCTTTCTTTACCGAATTACACATGAAATTAAACTATTTGCAAAAGATATTCATGATGAACATAAACAGAGAAAAGATTATGCTCAAAACCCAGAAAGTTTTGTGGACATATTCTTAGCAAAAATTGACGAAGAGAAGAAATTGCCAGCTGAGGAGAGGATTTTCACGGGTGGGTATACAGCAACATACAACAAAAAAATAAAATATTTAACACACATTTTCCTGTCACAGAGGACCAGTTTCATTTCGTCATTTCTGAACTGTTTCAAACAGGCTCGGAAACAGTGAATGGGACGCTATGCTACGCTCTGCTGTTCATGATTTTGAATCCACTCGTACAGAAAAAAGTCAGGGAAGAAATTGATACAGTTGTTGGTTTCGATAGGGATGTATCCCTGACAGATAGACCAAGGTCATTTTAAATTTATTGTTCATTTATTGAAAAAAAGTTGTATGTGCGCAGACAAATACTACTAAATACACATACTTTTTCATCAGGATGCTGTATACACAAGCTGTATTGCATGAAGTTCTCCGGTTCGGTGTGATTGTTCCACTCTATCCGCCAAGAGCTTTCACAAAAGATGTTGAATACAAGGGATTGTTTTTTAAAAAGGTACATGAATCTTGTTTAATCAAATTTCTCCTTTTATTTTATTTTATTTTATAATCCATTTCGCTCCTCTGAATTAACAGGGCACCCCAATTTTTCCCAACTATTATTCCTGTACGGTGAGCAAATCTTTGTGGGGAGATCCAGAAGTGTTCCGACCAGAGAGATTTCTAAGTAGTGATGGAAAGACTTTGATAAATACACAGAAACAGGCGCCGTTTGGGATGGGTAATATTTAAATACTAGCGAATAAGCCCGTCTCCCGCCGGTCGATGGGCTTAATTTATTTTCTTGTCCATAATTACACCGAATTATTATTTTTAATCATGTATATATTATTGGCTGGAAACGTCTGTTGGCAAGGAAGTGAAACTTTCTTCACTTTCACTTCCGTCACGGAAAATTACTTTCACTTCCGTTGCAGACAAACATTTCCAGCTTCAATTATCAAAAAGTTTAAGATTTTCAGGATTTAGCGTAGATTTAAATAATGCATTTTCAGGCAAGAGGTTCTGCATGGGAGAGACACTTGCAATGCCAGCCTTATTCATGTACTTTACGATGCTACTGAAAGATTTAGAATTTAGCCTGGTTCCAGGAGAACCAAAACCAAGGATAGCACCGCAACCATCCATCTCAGCGACGCCATGTCCATTTAAAATGGTTGTGAATGCAAGATGATGACATCGACAAAATATTCATTCTTTTAAATAAATAACTTTTTCCCCTAGTTTAAAGTGCTGAATGCACTTGCAATTATGCAAATTAAATAATTGAGATCATCAACTAGTTTCTAAACTCCATTGTTATTGTAAATGTGCACTGAATTACATATTCGGTTTAAATATTGTTTATTTAAATCGAATTTCATTTTCATTACATTCTTCAAATCGAGCTCCGTATGTACAAGTCAATAGCTATCAGTTAACCCTTGCATACTTAAAGAGATCACAACGATATCTCAGAACTTGCTTAATTTTAACATTAAATTGTGAAATGATTAGATACAGAGTACTTAAGTATTATTTAAAAGTGAATCCTTAAAACTCAATTTGCATACTCTTGCACAATAGATTGAGGGTATTCGTTATTTTTTTTTGTATCGTAAAATAATTTACGAAGATAAAACAAGGGTTCAGGTTTCGTAAAAATCGTAAGCGTAGTAACGTGATTTTCGATGAGAAAATCTTACGACGCTTACAAAATATCGTTAGCTTCGTAAGTTATTTTACGATATGAAGAATACTATCTAAGAATACGAAGAAATAATGAATACCTTCATTGTAAACATCTTATGGTACAGAGTCCGTGAAAAATTCTAATTCGAAGTAGTTAAATGTATTGCATTAATTTAAAATTTTAGAAAGCAGGTCAGTGATAACGAAAATGAATTCGTTATCATATAAATATGTTATTGTTTGTTATTATATGTTGTATGAATTCAATTCAATTCATACAACACTACAGGAAATACAGGGTGGTTTAAATGTCAGGTTACAACGGAAAATTTTTCAATGGGAAAAATTCGCAAATCTCCATTAGTTACCGAAATTTTGCCTCTGAAATTCAATATTTTGAGAATTTTGTCATCAGTGCTCCATAAGTTTTGATAAAAATTAATAAAAATCTCAATCCCAAATCCGAAACTACTAGAAATTTACGAATTTTTCCCATTGAAAAATTTTCCATTGTAACCTGACATTTAAACCACTCTGTACTTTAATAATACTAGATTTACTGTTTAAATGAGTGCATGAAAAGTGGGAAAGAAAAATGAAGAAGAAAACGTCATTTTTAGATGCGCACACATGTTTACACAATTCATCGATATCAATGATGTACAATATGCATACATACATATTATGTATGTTTACTTTAATGAGTCAACGCTCATGTGTATAAAGTTTTCGAGCATTACATACATATTCATTTAACAGTAACATACTTTAAGCTAGTAAACAATCAGCATCTAATCCGTCAGTTTGGAAGCTTTCCAGTGAAAGTGTACACACTCTAAGGCATTGGATCTGTTCCTATACTTCATTAATTTTAAACGAAGCATGTTTAGTCTTTAATTCTATGAGTTTACGTACTAAATCGATCCTTCATGATTTTACTTCTTAGGAGAAAATGCAGCACATACTCGTATGTACATACGTATGTATGTATGTGCATTAAAAGTATTCTTAACGTATCCCCGCATTGAACTTTCCTCCCTGCCTACATGCTACATACATGAGGTCCTTATCGAGTTATTAGATAATTGTCATATTTAGTGACATACTTGTGCATTAATGTACATATGTATACATCACGTTATCTTAAACATGACTCATTGTCAGGCCACATGAAAAGGGGCAAGTGACCCAAATATTTTAACTAGTCGAAACTTTCCTACGCCACGGCATAAAGATAACAAATGCATAATTCCTCAGTTCACCAGTTCTAGGCGAGAATTTGTTCTACATACATTTGCATTTATTTTATTTCTTACTTTTTTATACGCACTGTAGAGTGGCAGAAGTTTTCATAATAATTATAATTTCAAAATACTTATTGAACGTAATTTTTTAAATAATTCGTTTATAAATAAGCGTAACTATGGCAACAAAGCAGGAAGAACAGAAGGACCCTCACTCTCTAAAGGGGGTGATGGAGAAGATTCACGACACGGGCTTATTTTCCGACGTGGCTGTTTTAGTAGGTGTGGAAAAGCATCGCTTCAACGCTCACAAGGTCATTTTGGGCGGCAGATCGCCCGTTTTGGAGGCAATGATGCAGAAGAGATGGGTAGAAAAATGTGACGCTGATGGGATTATTTTGCTCAGTTTTCGTAATCATGGGGTTGAAGCGTTTCGACTGTTTTTACGGGTATGCATGTAAATTATGGAATTTTTTCATCAATATTTATGGGATCCGTGCATAAGTAATAAATTTATCAAAATTTGAGTTCAAAATTTGCTTTAAAGAATCGTGATTTAATTAAAATTTCTGGAGTATTTGTAGAACAGTTAGTTGAAATTTTTGAAATCTTCAACCTACTTCATACTTCATGGTATGCTCAGAATCCAAGTTTTTAATGGATGGAAATGTCTAAATGTCGTCATAATAGTTTTGATAACTCAACAAAAAATTGTATTATCTAAGAACATGACGTGAAATTTTAAGAGATGAGGTGTGTAAAGTAAGAGTGGTGACAATTACATATAATCATAGGGTAGATGCACAGCCTTAAATTTATTATTAACAAGACTGTTACACGTATTTACAAATTTCAACATTCTTAAAAACCAGGCCATTCAAAAAATATTTCCAAAATTTCCAGTACCTCTACACCGACGAATTGGGCGACGTATCAATCGGCAATTGCGTGGAGTTGATGAAGATGGCTCATCTGTACGACGTGCCACCTCTCCTGACCTTAACAACCGATCGAATTAGATTGTTTATCCATCAGTGCGGACCCGCCGGGGCAAATATCTGTCTTCAAATATACAGAGACGTGCGACACATTGACCACCACTTGGGTCAAAGCGCGTTCCAACATTTCTTAAAGTTTGTATCCAAATAGCTCATATTTTCCTAAACTTACAATTTTTAGAGTAGATTATTAAAATAATTTCCCAGCAACATCAGAATTGCTGCGGAAAAGAATCAATATTTAAAGTGGGAGGCAGACTTATTGAGAAAAATTTTGACCCAAGAAGCACTAAAAGTTCGGGAAGTGGATTTGTTCAAGGCACTTATGAAGTAATTTTGATCAAATTTGTTTTTTTGTTCACTAATAATAAGAGTACAATTGCCTAATTATACGCATATTTTAGTTGGGGAAATCAGTACAATGGCCCGAACGACACGATCTCGAGACCTGACGTAATGCCTGAATTGCTTAGACTGATCCGGTTTCCGGTCATGAGTATACAACAATTTGCTGAAGAAGTAATTCCAAGGAATGCCCTCTCTAAAGATGAGATTCTCAAGATGTTTATCCACTATTCCAGTCCAGAGTAAATAAATATTTCTCAATTTATTTAAATAGTGCACAATTCAAGTTAGTAGTTTGCTAAATAATGCTTTTATTTATGTAGCTCGGCCCCATCAGGCTTTGACTCTTGTCCACGTCATTTGCGGACGCAAAGTATTTTGGCGAATGAGGATGCGAAAGATGTCGACTTGAATGGCGCAGTTCGGACTGGTTTTTGTCCAATATCGTCGCATGGACTATCTCAGGAATTCATTTCTGAAATTCCTCCCGATATAAGGTAGGCAAATTGGACCACAAAAAATCGAGTAGCAAGTCCATTACACCATTATGTGACTCTGCCATCATACTAATAATTTTTTACCAACTGATAGTAACTTTGTTACCGTGTTGGTAAAAATTTACAAAAGTACAACTGGTACTCATTACTATAGCGGAAGAGTCACGGTAACACATGCATGTCACCCTAATCCTAAGTAGGTACTCACACGCTAGGTAATGTGTTACCTGATTTTTTTAGACTATGTTGATAAACCGTAGGTAACAAACGGGTGATACGAGACGCACAGGCAGAATAAAAGATCATGACAAAGGTATTGGACCGGCGCAATAAAATGCTCAGAACTTTTTACACAGTTAATGCAATTTCAAAAAAATTGCATATGTTTACTACCAAAGGGTCTGGATTGCCATACAGTTCAAAATTTAACGATTCAATTCCGCTGTCTGCTACAGTTAGCATTTTCTTCTTCAGATTTCGCATCAAATTCCGCCCATAGACTGCACCTACTTTTGTGGGCGTTGGGGATGGTAAGGTGATGAGGGCGTCCACCAAGTCTTCTGGCGTTGGTTGGACGAAGGGCCAGGTACGCCACGTCGGTGGCGTTGTGCGTCGGTATCCCACGAGTCGCCACACAGGAGGAGTCCGTAGCTGTGAGGTAGAGGAAATGGGGCTCGTTTGTGGGGATGAATATCCCAAATGACGCACAATAGTTCGTATGTGTAAATGGGCACCAAGATTCGGAGGAGGATGTATAACACAGTTTATCAGATCGGTCGCCAAATAACTCACACGGCACACACAATGGTTATCGTTTATGCACAATTATAGGAACATTTATTTATCGGAGCTCAATAAATATACAAGTAGACTTTAGGAAATTGATAAGTGTGTAAATTGTGTACTTTAAGGGGAAATGAAATTATGACTGGGACAGGTAAGTATTTATAATATTTGTAATTGTGATCGCTGTGATGAGTGGCGGAGAAGGAGAGAAGATGTTCTCCTCTTGAGTCCCAGCCTGCCACTGTCTGAAGGACAGTCGCGTCGGCTATATTTCTGAAGGTGGATTCAAGGAGGAGACGCGTCCTTGAATCTTGAATATTTAATGTTGAGTGAATGTCCGGTCACTTGATAGTGAGGAGAATGTGGAGACGGAGAAGAGAGAGAGGCGAAGGGATGGTGCATGTTGTATGTGACATCCCTTCACTTTGAAGCTGATTTTCTTCCATCTGGTCTTATATTTTCGTAAGTTGTGTACCGTTTCTGAAAGCTTAGAATATTTGGATTTAGTCAGCGCTCAGAATTTCTCAATTGGTCGCAGTTGAGGAAAATTTGGTGGGTTTCCATTTTTTGCCATAAATTCAATTTTTTTCAGATGTCGGCACTGAGTGACCTTTTTGGCGTCATGGGACCTTGCGAGGTCAGGCCAAAACAAAACTTTATTTTTTTATGATCTTTGGTAATAAACGATTCCAATCCCCCTTTAATGCATGATTTAAGATAACCCCCCTGATTTACAGTACCCTCCAAAATGACGGGATCGGAAACATGACCAATGCTAGACATGCATTGCCAAATTATTCATTTTTTTCGGAATTGGTCTTTCTTTTGGACTTTGTCTTCACATTTTACTTCACAGGGGTTGGAACTATGGAAAAAATGCCTTCCTGGAAGATTTGAAGGGTCGACGTTGACGTTGGGCTCATCGTCCGTCATGACCACTTTTTCCCCAATTTTCTTCAATAATTTCTTGCAGAACGCATGAATCCTTTCCTGTTGTGTTGGTTTGTAATTTGGTGTTGGTGTTTTTGCCCTGGCTATAATCCCTAGTTTATGGACTTTGATTTTGCTCAAATAGCTTTTTGAAATCTTGACCTTCCTTGTCGTGCCAGCCGTTGCCGTTGATGAATGATTAAAAAAAATTTTTTTATCCGATTTTTGACTTTTGTCGTCGCTAGCTTTGCAGGTCGACCAGTAGGGACTTTGAATTTGACTTTATTGGATTCCTCGTACTTTTTTATGTAAGAATTGACATTTGAATGAGGAATACCTTCTTGCTAGAAAAATTGCCAAGTGATTTTAGAATCATAGTTTGTTCGATTTTTATGAAACTCAATCACTCTTTTTCCCAACTCTTGCCTTTCAACCAAAGTTTTTCTAGTCTTAGCCATGACTCAATAATTGGTGACATATATCAATGGAAAGCTTATAACTTGGTCTATTCAAAAATAATTTTTTCGAAATTTAATTTCGCTGTGTTCCCGCCCGGCAGCGTCTTAAGGGGCGGTCCAATACCTTTGTCATGATCTTTTAAGCTTGTCGACAAAATTCGAACAGTTAGCGCAAGCTTTTGAATGGTAATTTAAAAAAATCTATTTCAGAATCGTCGTGGAGAAACCGGTCTGTCTTCTCGGAGTTGGAATTTTTTCTGTCGAGATTCAACAATACCTAACGACGGGAAGAGATGTACATGGTCACTTTGACCTTGAGGCGATCGTAAAGCGTAGCGATCAAAGTGTCGTGGCGAAAGGAAATTCACCAGTTTACAGAGGCTGTGACCGGGCACGTTCCGTCGTCACGATCCAGTTTGACACACCCCTCTTGCTCCGGGCCAATACGGGATACAATTTTTATGTGACTTGCACCGAAAAAAATGAAAGTACGCAGTAAAAATCTTGAACATTAGCATTCTTGTCTTGGATTGTCAATTTCGTCGTTCTGTCATTTTGATAAAATTAATTTGGTCCAGGAACGCGGCTTACTTGTCGTGGGGAGCCTTACGGGACGGGAATTCAGCACGAAGAGATCGAGCTCAGAGACGGTAGTTTTGGCACAATCACACATTTTGGACGTGACTTTGAGGGTACGAGCACCCCGCAAACGCCCGAAAGGATGAGGTCTTGCTGGATTCGTCACCTGGTTGTGGGCAAAGTGCCGGAGGAACCGCGTCCCTGCATTATTTCGTAGATAAAAAAATTTATTGATATATTACCAATATCTGTACATTGTGCATACTTATGTATGTGCGGATATCAGATTTCAACGTTATCGAAGGCAGTGATCCAACGTTTACCTGATAAAAATAATTATTTACATATAAATATGTATATGTATGTGAGTAACTAGATATGTACGTACTAATGTAATAGATGACTAATGTATGTACTTTTGTACTGTACACTGTTATGTAATTGAATCGCATAAAGGATCAACTCATCTTTGCCAGTATATTTATTACGATTTGACGAATCACGTTCTAAATGAGTAGATTGTTTTGTACAAATTTTGACCCATGGGTCCAGGAGAGATGGATCTCTCCTGGAAGAGAATGCAAACAATAGTATGTATTTATAATATCAAGCATTATTTTTTATTATGATTTTTAATTTAACAAATTGCTATTTCCCACTCAGCCAAATTGATATCGATCGATCACCATTATTGATTTCTCCACCAACCACCACAATGTTGCTTTATCAACATAATAAAATATTATTTAAAGCATATAACTGTCCTCTAAAGTATTAGAGATTCGTGCATCTGCATATACATACATAACATATACATAAGTACATATTTAGCCATGGAAATTTCCGACCCTAATATCGTTAATTCGATTCGTCCCCTTGGTTACGACAGCCCTCGAAAAAATTCGATTTTGGGGAATAATTTTGGATCACTTTACATCCTCAGTCCCCTCGTAACGTGGGGATTCTATCTGGGAATCGTGCCATTCCGATTCCGACATTGTAGCGAAATAAAAGGCAAGATTGAACTTCATCACTGTAAACTACAGAAGGTATGGAGTTTATGCATTGAATTGGCATGATTTTATTTTGAACATGCACGCTGTTTTGTGTAATTCTGCAAGAATTTAATTTTTAAAGAGAACAGCGGCGATTCTTTTAACGTATGTACATAATCCCATCAAATAGGCCAACAGAATAATTGCGAAAATAAATTAGAAAAAATCGAATGGAAATAGACCTGCATAAAATTAACGCGTATTTTCCTGCAAAAGCAGCATAGAGTTCATTTCAATAACGCTTTTTTTATGTAAAAGATGCTTGATGAAGAAAAATGGACCCATTTTCTACACATCGTCGATTTTCATTACAACAATTTAACTATTTTCTTTGTTTTTGCAGATTCTTTGTTTCGTAATTCACGTCCTTATTTTCCAAAAATGTCTTAGCAATGTACTGGAATTTGAGTACAACAAAATTAAAGGAAACACACATCCTGGGGCTTATCTGAGAATCCTGTCTGATTGGAGTGACCTTGCCTATAAAAGTGTCGTCATAATAACTTTTTGGATTGGTCAAAAGCATTTCAGAGCCTTGTTAAATTTCGTTTCCGAAAATGGTCAACGTGGAATTTTTGAAGGAAATTTAAAGGTACGTTGCTTTTAGAATCCACATTTCGCAAAGGACACTTACCTATTAGGTACTACATTTTTCTGTATATTTTACACAGATCAAATACTTAGGATATCTGATTCCCTTCTTAACGCTGATGGCAAATCTGATTCGGATATTAATATTCGAATATGAGCTAAATTATGACAAACTTCCCGCTCGATATATTGCGGAAGGATATCGTAAATTGTTTTTTTGGTGTCCAAATTCAATTCCACAAGTTACCCAGTTCTCAATCTGGGACTACCTGATTGGACTTTTCGCATTTTTACAAAATTGTTACCTGCATTTTTTCAATTTTTTCTGTGACGTCGCAATTCTTACGGTTTCTTTGTCACTGTGGCTGTCGGTGAAAAAATTTCAAAAGTTAATTGAAATAGAGGATAAACACATTTTTGGGACTGCAGGTCTAGATCCGAGGAAAGTTGTAATTTCAGAGTATAAATGCTTGACCCAATTTACTCGCCATTTGAACAACGCGTTCAGTAGAATCACTCTATTTTTCTTGTTCAGCTCCGTTTTTGTTTATTCGAATGATTTAGCGTCGACATTATTGGAAAGGCCCGTATCGCAAAAAGTATCGAATGCCATGTTTACGATCAATTTTATCGCAACTTTGGTCATTTTTGGAGATGTTGCAAGTCGAGGAAGCACTTGTGTGGAAGATTGGTTGCAAAGAAAGGCGTCTGAAGAGGGTGGGAGTGGATTGAAGATGGAGGAATTTATCGTGATGTTGCAGAATGCAAAAAGTTCCAAGATTGCTATCAGTGCGGGTATTTTAGTGGTTAATTGGTCAACTATTTGCAGTGTAAGTATTTGAATGATACCTTTGGAGACGTGCGTGTATGTATGTAATGATTCTATTTTTGTAGATGGCGTGCACCGTTTTTACGTATTTCATAATTTGTGCTTCTTCTGGGGATGAGTTTAACTATTGACATTGTGATTGGCAGCTACAAAGGAGCACTCAAATATTTCAAATATTAAAATTTGATATTTATCATCTGTGCATCAAGTTTGGTTCCTTTTTCCAATAGAATTCCATATTATACATAATGTGTGCATAGAATGAAGAATTTGTGAGCTCTGAGTTGACTAATTATTTTTTAATAAGCAATTTTAACCTAGCAAAGTGCTTTTTCAGAATCACATCATTTGGGGTTCAGTTTTGGACCCATCTTTAACTTTAGAAATTATTCAAAGCCAATCATGAGTCCCTCAAACTTTTAAATTTTTAGACTTCGTTATATTTATATTAGGTTAATTTTCAACGAACATCCGAACGCATTTCAGAGATGAAATGAATGATACGGTGTTATAGTATTTCGCATCGATGCCACCGAATTTAATTTAAAAAATTGCAAAATGAACTGCGGTTGCATGGATCACCTTACCATAGCTATTTTTGAATTATATGCAACCACCCCCCTTAAAAAATGGGGGTAAAAAATTGGGAAAAATGAGAAAGCTAATGTACACTCCGTAAAAAAAAATTAGACCTCAAGTTGTATTTGACATTTTAATTCCCCCATAAATACAAACATTTTGATGCAGAAAAAGTTTCAAAATTCGAAAATTGGCGGTTTTTCGACCTAGATATAAATCGTTTAAAAAGTGACCTTAGCGGTCATTTCTAGTCTGACAACCTGATGCCAGATTTTTCTCCTTGAGAAGAGCTACATTTTCAGCTTTTGTTGGCCGAGTAGAAATGACCGGAACAATGAGTTTTTTTGGGTCAAAGTTTCTGAGGGAGGGGCTTATTTTGCAAGAGCCGTAACATATGTACATACATACATAGTATGGCTGCTTGTGAAATACTACCCATAAAAATAATGATAAAGAATAAAGTTATTAAAGTAGCCTCAAATCGATCTAATTGTTAAAATTAAGCTTTTCTGAATTTATAATGGTGATATTCACTCAAAAATTAACGCTATAGGGCTTACCTACAGACTTATCAATTTTTCAGATAAGCAAATTTAGTTTATCCAAATCGCCCAAAATTTAAAACTTAAGCTTTTATGAATTTATGATGGTGATATTCACTCAAAAATTAATGCTTTGAGGCTTATCAATTAAGTTATCAATTTTTCAGATAAGCAAATTTAGTTTATCCAAATCGCCCCAAATTTAAAACTTAAGCTTTTATGAATTTATGATGGTGATATTCACTAAAAAATTAACGCTATAGGGCTTACCTACAGACTTATCAATTTTTCAGATAAGCAAATTTAGTTTATCCAAATCGCCCAAAATTTAAAACTTAAGCTTTTATGAATTTATGATGGTGATATTCACTCAAAAATTAATGCTTTGAGGCTTATCAATTAAGTTATCAATTTTTCAGATAAGCAAACTTAGTTTATCCAAATCGCCCCAAATTTAAAACTTAAGCTTTTCTGAATTTATAATGGTGATATTCACTAAAAAATTAACGCTATAGGGCTTATCTCCAGACTTATCAATTTTTCAGATAAGCAAATTTAGTTTATCCATATCGCCCCAAATTTAAAACTTAAGCTTTTATGAATTTATGATGGTGATATTCACTAAAAAATTAACGCTATAGGGCTTATCTCCAGACTTATCAATTTTTCAGATAAGCAAATTTAGTTTATCCAAATCGCCCCAAATATAAAACTCTTGAATTTATGATGACGATAATAGGAGGTATGGTGTCTACTAGACACTGAACGGTAATTTCGGGTTACATATATAATTAAATGAGAGGTGCCTGGTTGGATGAAAAGTTTGCATGGAAAAAGTGAGACGAAGAGAAATGGATTATTTCATACGACCCTGACTCGAAATGATGATGGATACCCACCGCGAACCACGTTTCTCACTCTGTCTCACATTCCCATGCGAAATATGGAGAACGGTTTTGTGAAACACTTGACGTGGTATTCATCTTCACTAATCTAGAAGAAACCTGTAGTATTTAATTGAAATTACGAAATTAATCCATAATCCCAAAATTTCACCTCACCCAGCTCTGGAGATTTGTCATATCCCTGGAGAATCCCCAGTAAATAAATTTCATGCTATGTTATTAAATTAGTAACTATTGATAAATCGTTATGAATTTTCTGAAATGTCTTGAAACGAAAGGTTTTGTATATGAATATTGATGGTGAATAGTGATCAATAAATTGGTGACGAATTTTATGGTTGCGAATTATTGTGGTGACGCATTTCTCTATCAAAAAATAGCTTCAAAATCGATAAACGGTCTTCAACCCTTGCACATTTACATAAGTGAATCGCATGTTTAAATGTGCATAAAGTATCAACTCGTCTTTTGCAAGTCAGTATGCATCCGTATGTGACGATTTGACGAACCATATTCTAAATGACTGATGTCGGCCAAGTATGTTATAAATTTTGACCCATCTGTCCTGGAAGATACAGAGGATCAAAGATCATTATTGAACACATAGAAGAACTGACCTTAAAACTAGGGTCGACGAATTTGCTGAATGTGTTACCCAGACCTGACCAGTCTATATCGCCGTTTCCACAAATTCATAACTTGTTTCTGTTTTAACTCGGTTGAAAACTGAGCCGTTTTCCGAGAGATTTTCGTGATATAGTTATTTAACGTGTGAACTTTAGTCGTTTTTTGCCTTCTTTTTGGAGTTTGTGTTTGATGACCCAACTCACATATTTACAACTAACGTTTGAACAACTTATCCTATTTGAGTTTGGGTCATAAGATTTTCTCGGTTTATCATTAGATTTTTCGAAAAACGGTATACGGTACCTCTTAGGAGGCTGAAACTTTGCAGGGGATGGATGTCAGTCCCGCTAATTAAAATTTCAGATCGAGAGGAATTTAGCAAACGAGACACTACAGAACGAGCAACACTATATTTGGATAATTTTACCTTCTCCACCATTTTCGTTTGTGACAATATTCCTTCGGAAGAATGTTTTATGTGATGGTAGACTTCGGATGGCAATTTATTGGTGTTTTTTGACCAATTTTTGTCAACTAAACATTTTATGCATACCAAACAACTACATTTCGAGAATAAAATTACAGAAATACATAAAAACTTACCCATGCATGATTTCCGTCAATTTTTCTACCTGTTCAATAAGGATCTATGATCCTGTACTATGTATAAATAAATATGCGTGCATGTGCTTATAGCATCAGGCCATATTTTTTATGACAGTCGGTGATTAAATAAAGTATCTACTTTACTTTAGGTACTTGCCCACTCAAGGAAATTGATATCGATCGAGCACACATATTTATGTCTTCATCACCAGAACTTTACTTTACCAATATAATAAAATATTATTTGAAGGATATCATTGTCTTCTAAATTATTACAGATACATAAATACATACACACACTGTTAGAATGTAGTGAATTCACTGGGTGCTGGTCTCGTAGATATTTGATAACAACTTCCTCCCTGGGAGGTAATAGTTTGTTTCTGAGTGGTAAGTTTTCATTACCACAACATCATTATATGGTAATGCCTGTTACTACCGTGCCGGTGAGGTCATATATGTACTCTGGTCAGTAATTATGCAATACCATTTTGCTCATCCTCAGAGTCATACTTACATACATACATATGTATATACATATGTACTTATATACGACTATTTAGCCATGGATATTTCCGACCCTAATATCGTTAATTCGATTCGTCCCCTTCGTTACGACAGCCCTCGAAAAAATTCGACTTTGGGTAATAATTTTGGAGCACTTTACATCCTCAGTCCGCTGTTAACGTGTGGATTCTATCTGGGAATCGTGCCATTCCGATTCCGACATCTGAAAATCGGCGAAATAAATGGCAAGATTGAACTTCATCACTGCAAACTACAGAAGGTATGGAGTTTATGGATAACGCAACAAAATGGATTGGCATGACTTTATTTTGAACACGGAATTTTATCTAATTTTGCAAGAATTTAATTTTGAAAAAGTACAGAGGCGATTTTTGAAACTTCTCGTTTTTGTAAATTGTTGCACAGTATAAAAAGTGCATGATTTTTTTATGTACAAAATTTTCTTGGGATGATTTCTGAAGAAAAATGAACCAATTTTCATTACAACAAATTCTTTTATTTATTTTGCAGATTCTTTGTTTCGCAATTAACGTCATAATTTTGCAACAATGCTTCAGCGATGCAATGGAATTTGAGTACAACAAAATTAAAGAAAACACACATCCTGGCGCTTATCTCAGAATTCTGTCTGATTGGAGTGACCTTGCCTATAAAGTTGTCGTCATATCAACTTTTTGGATTGGTCAAAAGAAATTCAGAACCTTATTAAATTTCGTTTCGGAAAATGGTCAAAGTGGAATTTTTCAAGGAAACTTAAAAGTACGTTTGTTGAAGATGAAAGCATGAATTTCTCAAAGGGTACTATTTCAATACTCATTTCTGCATGTTTTCCTCAGATCAAATACTTGGGATACTTGGTTCCCTTCTTGACCCTGATTGGAAATTTGACTCGGATGATTCTATCCGAATCTGAGCAAAGTCTTGCCAAAATTCCTGCCCGATATATTGCGGAAGGATATGGAAAATTATTTTATTGGAGCCCAAATTCAATTCCACAAGTTACCAACTCTTCCAACTTTGACTACCTGATTGGACTTTTAGCATTTTCGCAAATGGTTTTTCAACAATTCTTCAATTTTTTCTGTGACGTTGTCATTCTCACGGTTTCTTTATCGCTGTGGCTGCCGGTGAAAAAATTTCAAAATTTAATTGAAACCATGGACAAACAAATTTTTGGGCCTGAAATTTTAGATCCGAGGAAAGTCATTATTTCCGAATATAAATGCGTGACCCGATTTACTAATGATTTGAACAATGCGTTCAGTAGAATCACTCTATTTTACTTGCTCAGCTTAGTTTTTGTTTATTCGAGCGATTTAGCGTCGACATTTTTGCCGAGACCAGAACACACCATTCTGAGCTGCGTCTCCACAAATTTGATGCTCTACGAGGGTGTGTTCTTTTGCAGAAATGGGGGTGCCACCGCCACCTATGTGCTTTCATCATCATTTTTTGATGCCAGGAGATGTGGTGATGATGATGATGCGGAGGTGCCATCCCCCAGGTGGGCCAAATGTACACCGAGTTATTTGGTTGGCTCTCCCCGTTCCTCCATAAGCGTCACTCGAATACATAAGATCGATTCTTCTGGTAGAATCTATATTCTGTGGAAGAAGGCTCGCATGGTTGGACCATTGTCTCAAATCGAAACTTTAAGTAAATTTTGTCGCTCTAAAACCACTGAGCCTTCAGTAGTTACTTATAATTTGAATTGAATGACAGAAATATGACGCTTAAGAAGATGCTATTTAAAAAATTCTGTACGCTTTAATTTTATTCACAAAGCTTAAATTTAGAAATTTTATACAAGTGAGCATAAATTGAAATTTGATGTTTTAACTACTGCCACGATACACGAACTGGATAAAGTTTAGCCTCATTGAAGTGACGTTAAAATGCGCCTTGTCTGGTACAAGTTTATTGCCAATACGGACCATTTAGACAGACACAAATAGGTAAAATAAATTTCGAGCTTTAAACCCAACTTGCAGATACTCATTTATGTATATGTAAATGATATGCTTTTTAATAGCCGAAAATAAAGCTCTGAAATCTTTAAAATTCTGTATTTTATTTCCAATCATCCAATATCATACTCGCAGCTTTCTCTCCAATCATAATAACTGGTGCGTTCAGGTTAGCATTTGTTATTCTTGGCATTATGGACGCGTCCGCAACTCGCAATCCCTTCACTCCACGCACCCTTCAATTTCAAAACCGCACTAACTTTATAATTGGTTAAAGTTGAAGCGCTTAAATTATATATGTTGCAAACCTCAATCGTGAATCTAATACTGCACTCGGATCATCTGCATGTCCCATTTTTGCACTACAGCTCTGATGCCACGTTGTCGCTTTTCAATTTCAAATTGCATCAAATTCGATTAAAATAAACATTATTTTCTGCATTTATTGGAAATCTTACACGTGCAATGTCTCAAGAGACACTCGTAATACTCGTCACTTCTGAAAATATGACTTTCACATCCTGGATAATGTTTTGGCATTAAGGTTGCATTGTATTTTCGAAACGTTTTAGTTTCTTCGTAAAGTTTAATTAATAGTTTCAACCCTGATAAATTAGAAAATTTTTCTGTCACGTCATTAAACATTATTTAAATATTAATGCAATTCACGTCAACCTTCGTAAGTCCGTGACCATATAGATTTATGAAATTTACGAACATCTCGAAGGCAATTTTTGCTTACGAGATTACAGCACCTTAATAAAGAAGATGTACGACATGTTTTTGCTTCGTAAGCCGATCTTCGTACATAAGTTTACGTGGTTACGAACTCACGAAGGTTGACGTGAATTGCCTCATTATGTAAATATATTTTACCACGAATCATCTCCTTCATATCGTACGGATGACTGAAATAGTTCAAGTCAACGACCGGTTGTTCCAGCGGATCTGCTGAACGTAGACGAATTGTTCCTCTACTTTTTGGGAGTCCCAGATTAAATCCGACAATATGTGCATCTCTTCCAACAAATTCATTTACATATTGTAACGAATATGGTTGAATTGTAATGGGAAGGGAGGATGATGTGAAATTGATATGTTCCCTCTTATATGTACTTATGTCCCTATTCGCGACCTAATTCTAACTTCCTGGGGGGAAGTTATCCCGACTTTCGGTGAAGAGCAGTTAAATGACAACGGCAACACAAAGGGGGGTTCTCTTAAATAACTAATATTTATTTAAAGCTGGAATCTGAATCATTTTACACGCTATAAAAATATCTAAAGAAGAAGAACCCTAAAATAAAGATGTTGCTCATAAGGAGGTATTAGACTGAATAATATTTCCAAAGAGAGAAAAAGAAGGAGGAAAAAAAACTGAGACGAGAGCAAGGTTGCCTCGTTCTTCCCGAGTGGGGGAAAGATCTTCCGGCTATTGCCAGATGGCAGAAGGGATAGATTTCTCCCCGGGTGGGTCGGATTGAGATCAGCACCAGTGGTACGGGTTACAATATGATTTCATGGTTCCCTCCTTAAAACCAAAGAAATAATCAAAGTCTTCCCCGAATGACTTGTGGATCCCGATCGGATGCAGGATTGCGTACAAGTTGGGCCAATTCGGTTCTGGGGGTTGGTCCGTGCTAAACAGTCCAATGGCGGTCATGGCGTTAGATGCTAGGGGCCCTTTGTGAGCAAAGTAATTAATATTTTTCGTTAATTGTAGCTCACTTTTTAGGAGCCATCCATAAATTCGCAATTTTCTAGACCCCCCTTCTCCCGTTTGACATGTGTAACATAGACACGATATCATTGGAGCCCAAGACCCCCCTCTCACGTTACATAATTTATGGACAATTTCTCGATACCTGAATGATTCCGAATGTACAGATCTGCAGATCCGATACTCAAATCTCTGCGGAAATATAGGACACAGTATCGTTCAAAATGAAAGGTCCAGCCAGTGATAAGAGGTGATCTTGTAGATTATCTCCAACAGCGAGGTTTGATATGGTTCGGATCTATGTATGTATGTAGTGAGTCATGCGTAATTTGTGTTCATTACTCGGATTCGAAATGTTCAAATTCAAAATCAGAAATATTCGAATTTTAACTCTAAATTTCTAACATTCAACTTGTGCGAGTCCCAGTTTAATTTTTAGGCAATTTTGCATACCCCAAATGACTTCAAATGGTCAGAATGTCCGATTCCGGACAACATCAGAACATGCGGACTTCCAATCCCACCTGCCGACAGAACAACTTCTTTGGAAGCTGTGGCAGTGAATGTGCGCCCATTTTTGATGTACGAGACCCCCACGGCACGTTTGGTTGAATCAAAGTTTACCTGATTTCCCAATGTATTAATTATTCCATCATTGTTATCCTATCATGAAGTATATGTTAATTTGTCGCCATCTTGTTACCTTAGTGACATGCGCGTAACGAATTACTTTAAAATTACGCCGATGCAGCACAGGCTGAATGAAGGCGTTATACGTACTCCACCTTCGCCCATCCTTCATTGTGTGGTCGATAGGAACAAATGCTTGCTTAACAAATTCACTTATTGTAATTATGAAATTATGAATACATCATTCAAACTAACTCGATGTCTGGTACGCATTTGGATCCGAATTGCTGAATCCCATCTCTCTCGCGGCAGACATCCAATCCCTCGTGAGAGGATCATCAGGTTGAGCAGTCACCGATAAGGGTCCCCCAGTTCCATGATATTTGGCTGCATATGTATATAATTTAAAATTTTGATTTACGACGTTAACGAACTATGAGGGTGTTCCTTGTTTCATCGTATGCTTAGTATTCTTCGTATTATAAAATTTTATGTAAGTTACGCCAATTATGAGATTTTGTAAGCGTCGTAAGATTTTGCCATCAAAAATCACGTTACTATTTAATCTTAGGATTTTTACGAAGATTAACCACTTGTTTTTTTCATAAGCTTTTTTACGATATAAAGAATACGAAGGAACAATGAATGCCATTTTAGTGAAAATCATAAGCTTAGTAACGCGATTTATATGACACAAACTTACAGCGATTATAAAATGTCGAAGCAATTGTAACTTATTTTATGTACAATACAAAAAATACTAATGATGCGAAGAAATCCCCTCAATTTAATACTGAGGCAGCCCACTTGGGTATTTCCAGTTAAACCCCTGTGAAATTTCTAGACTAGATAAAAAACCTTTTCAAAATTTACCACTTCGATACTTTACTGGATTACAAATTTTTGTGAACTATGCATCGCATCTTAATGTACGTAGAATTATTTACATACGGTCAGGATAATTTCCAGTGTAATCTTCCGACTTTTTGAAGTAGGGCAGCACATTTTCATACGACCAGGACGCATCTCCAGTAAGATTCGCCCAGTTGTCAAAGTCGTTGGGATTTCCTCTCATGTAAACCATGACATTTAAGCTGCTCGAACCACCCAGCATTTTCCCTCTCGAGATTGTAATCAACTAAATAATTCATGCCAAATGTGAACCTTTTGTTAGATTAGTTATGACACATTCTTGACTTTCTCACGTTATCTTTGCACGCCAGACAGGAAGTGTTTAATGGCTCTGAACGTGTCATCCAGTCGGTGTAAGGATTGCGCATGTTGGACATTGCCATGGCTGGGATTGAATTTAACACGGTGGGATTACCACCAGCCTCAAGTAGCAGGACTGATAAGCGATAAAATTAGATTTACTAACACCACCCCATAATTTTTTACTTGTTACGGACAACCTTTGAAATTTGGGTTAGTGGATAGTCGATTGGCTACGACTGCTCCAGCTGAACCTCCGCCCACTTTAAAAAATACGTTTTAATACATATGAACGTCTATTCCTGAATAATTTAAAATTTGTATTTGAAACCAACCAATAATGAAGTCATAATTCGTAGACGGACTAAATAATGGGATGGGATCCATCACAGAATCGAAACCATGATTAAGCAAGGCTAAAAATGTGGTAATTCCAGCAACTATGATCTTCAAGTTTGCAAGTACTACCATCGGAATTGGAATTGTGTTCAGAAACTGCAAAATTGAGTTGGACGGATCCATTTTAGGTATTTATATGACCAGGCGACCACCGAAAATAAAATAATTTCTGACAAATGTTTTATGTCGAGGGCCTTTTAGCCTTTTATACATAGCAAGAATCGCATAGATATGTATAGGGATACATCTTACGTAAATACATATGTATATAAATATGTAAATATACCAATTCTATGAGGGTACATTCAGGGTATTCATTATTCCTTCGTATCCATAGTACATATTCGTAAAATACGTTACGATGGTTACGAGATTTTGCAAGCGTCCTAAGATTTTGACGTTAAAATCAGGTTGCTAAGCTAATGATTTTTACAAAACTGCACCCCTTGTTTTTCTTCGTAACCTATTTTACGATACTAATCTTAAGGATGCGACTAAGTAATGAATACCCCAATTTAATTGCGACGAAATAAATTGTATTTATTTGACAGTGATCAACAATGTTCGTGTATACAGCAGAGATCCGTGATTAATGATTTTTTTTGCGGGATTAAGGATTAAGGATTAATGTTATCCTGGGATTAGATTAATCCAGAACTAATTAAATAATTCAGTTTGCTGGGATTAAGGATTAAGGATTAATTCAAAATACTTTTGGATGCGGGATTAAGGATTAAGGATTAATTAATCCTGATTAATTCTTGATTATGGATTAATTATTATTAATCCTGATTAATTCTTGATTAAGGAGTAATATAATTTTTATTTTACTGTATAGAATTATTGACACAGCAATATTCATGTGTCAAATACTTACAAAACGTGCAATATATATATATATATATTAGTGTTGTGTTAAGTACATAATAAAATTCTATGTGCCATAATATGCCCACCTATTATGACAAGTTTTGGTGCACAAGCTATGCCCCTCGCCAGAGCCGCAAGACTTGTCAAGTTCTTCGACATCAAAAAATGTGCCGGTCAAAACGAATGGCAAACCTTTCAGTTCAGTCAGATTCCTGTTCGCCATGATTAACGATTGAATCAGTATTTTTATGAAAGCTACAATATACATATAGTTAAAAATATAATGTATATTAATTTCAGGAGACAGCATGGAAAAATATCGTAGGTTGAGAAAAACTGTCACTTGGCTCATTCACAGTTATTAATCTCTCGAGAGAATTAATCCTAATCATGATTAAGGATTAACAATTTGGACACGCCTCGTCGGGATTAAGCATTAAGGATTAACCGAGTGCAAATTTTTCGTCGGGATTAAGGATTAAGGGGCCATCCATAAATTACGTAACGCAAAAATCATCATTTTTTAGACCCCCCCTCCCCCCTCGTAACGGCATCGTAACGCTTCTCGACTACCCCCCTCCCCCTTCGTAACGTAAGGTAAATTTGATTTCACCGCAGGTAATTTCTTTAACAGTAACTTGCAAAATTTTCATTTGTTCCAGGTTGTGTAGACAAATGTCGCTTTTATTGCTTCTATTTCTTTTAAATTGCTAGATAAATTAGAATTTTGTGAATTTCTTGTTCAAGAACAACGAAATCATATTCGACATCATCATATAAGAAATGGAAATTGTAAATCTTACAGGTCTCTCAACGTTTACCAAGACTCACAATGGAACCTTTTGTCAAGTTGCACCCGGAAAACTATCGTACGACCATTAATAGATGAGTACAATTCTTGACAACCATCATGGCGCCTAAGTGACCTCGTTGGGGCTCAGGTGATCGGCAAATTCGATCAAATTCTCATCTTAAAGGTAAGGCTCAATTAATCGTGAAACTTACGTCACACCATCGCCCTCCGAGGTCACTGTGGAGGAATGATGGTTCACAAGTAGGCAAGAATTTTGCTCTTCTTTTAATGTGAGCACCATAATGAAAAACGTATTTACATGAGTACACTGAAACCTTCTGGATGACATGAGTTCAATTCGATTTTTAATCGCGTTTATGAAATGCGTTACGTAACAAATTTGTTATACCCCCCTCCCCCTACATAACAATTCGTAACGCTCTTCCCATGACCCCCCCTCCCCCCTCTTGCGTTACGTAATTTATGGACGGCGCCTAAGGATTAATTGCACACATTTTTTTGTTGGGATTAAGCATTAATGATTATTAATCCTTAATCCCAATCCTTAATCCGTCAATCACGATTAATTAATCACGGATCTCTGGTATACAGTAATAGATGTATAGGTATGTATCTATGTATATGTATTTATATAGATTCATAACAAGGTGTATTTATACGTAACATGCTTATAAATATGTATACTAGATTAGTTAGGTTAGGTTAGGCTAGAAAACTTGTATTGCAGAAGGAATTCATGGCAATGGAACATGTCTCATTAAACTAGTGACATTCATTATTTTCCTCATGTTGAGGTACCCAAAGGTCAACTTATGTAAGTATGAGTGGCCGCGGAAGCTGTAGGGACACGTAGGGACATTAACATTGGGATAGAGGAGTCTATATAACATGGGCAGATGGTGGGAACATCAAATAACCGTGGGGAGGTTGTCCCTCTGTCCCCACGTTTCTGCGGTCACTGATAATTATTCTGTGATCAGTGTTCATGAATGCACCTGTATTTTTGAACTTTGTATAACGAAGTCTAATTTTTCGCTACATAGTATGAAACACAGAAAGTATCGTAAATCTGAATTCTATTAGAACTGTTAAGAAAGTTTTAGTAAACTATGTATGTATCCTGAAAATGTGATACAAAATCATGGGTGAGACTTAATTGCTGAATTTCGATCACTGGTGGAAATAAATATACTTAATTTGCATACTAGTCCCATGAAGACTTTATTTCAGCGTATTTATGTACATAATTATTAATGAATATTTTTCCTTCAATAGGATTGAATTAGGGGCTGGGTGCAAGTGAAAAGAGTGCACATAATCATAGCTTAACTTACAATGCGTAAACATGAAGTGGTTTTGTCCGATTTCGACCAGATTGCATACCTAATTTTAAATTATTCACACCTAAACATAAGCAGAAACGTTTTTAGATATTTTGAATTTTTCGAGCGTTTTGGCCTTTGGCAGAATTTTCAAGTTGATTATATATACAAGCCAAATCGATGTTTCTTAAAACTTTTCGTCTTTTGACGGTATAAAAATTGGAAAACCTGTTTATTCAGAAGGGCTTATAGTAATTTTTTGTTATTTGCGATCTTCCGAAATGTAAGGTTTGTAGTTTTTCAAAATTTAGAATTTATAGTATATATACATAGATACATAAAATGCATTCTATAAAATGCATTCACATATATGATTCTACATAAAATGTAAAAATTTATGTTTAAAAAATTTTTGAAAGTGCATTTTTCTAAGCTCGGGGAAGTCATTCCGAGTAAATATTCTTTCGAATTTTTGAAATCAGGTTATACTTTACAAAGTTACAGTTACAGTTTGAAAAAATCTTGATTCTGTCTACAAATTTGTTTTAAACTTCTTCCAAAGACCAACAAATTAGGAAAAACAAAAATATATGTGCTCCTATTTTTGGCGTGAATAACCGAAACTTAGTTTGGTAAAATCGGAGAAAACCACCTCATGCTTACGCATTGTTAGTCAGAAGTAGATTGAAATTTTTGTTTATCCAGAACCAGCTTGTCTACCAAGTTTTTTTAAATTGTATATCACATACTTAATACGAGACAGACACCACTCAGACACCATTCATTCGCCATTTTTATTTTCTACCTTTAGCAACCAATTATAATTATTACACTTGTTTATTGAAGACAAGTCGATCTAGTTGGCTCATTGCAAACTGAAATCCGAGTACCCAAGTTTAATTCGACCGAATTACATACACGTACATATGTACATATATATAACCCTGACGGGTATACAGGTCCAATGAAATGAATACCCCAGGTAAAAATTACATGTATCTATGTAGTTGTAATGTACACACAAGACTTATGTACAAGTAGATTATTTTAATGCCTTGACCATCTACAGATGAACTATCCAAGATGCAGGAAATACCTGTTCAGCTTAGGATTAGTTATTTAGGGTTAATTATTTTTTTCCTCTTAGAGAGATATTCGATTTATTACGTACATTGAATTTCATCAGTAATTTTAATTTTTCCTAAAAAATTTATGTCAGCGAATGAAATGGAAAATGAGTGTAGGCTAAAAATTGCAAATTTGGATTTGAGATCTCAAGGTTTTTGGAGTGCCAAATACCCATACCTTGTTGTAGGTGACTACTGGATTCTGGTTGGTGAGAATCGTAACAGCTTAACTACTAAATAATATACATACATTATAGTACATTATTAAAAACTACGTTATTCTCCTACACAAAGTAAGTTACAGGTGCAGCATTACAATTAGTAAATTGGCCATCCATTAACTTAAACTCATCCTCAACATAGGACGCAACTCTGCTTAAACTCTTTTCGTCTGGAAAAACTCCCTTATCTCCGACCAGGTTCAAACCCAATTTGCCATTATAACTCTCCGTCATCACGATGAGAGGATTTTTCTTGCGCTGAAGCCCCGCCACGATGACCCCTCTTTCCAAAATGGTTCCAAACATTTTGATTGGTTCACCAAAGTAGGCGAGATTCGTATGAATGTACGTGCACCTATTCGGCATGAACCTAGTCTGCCCGACGACGCCAAGCAGTAAGCCAAAAATGTTACAATTTGCAATCATTCCCATCGGCAGGGCGGAGTGGAGGATGCGGTCAAATTGTTTGGAAATATTTCTGACTCGTTGAAAAATGTCCGCTTCAGGGGACATGGGGATGATCAAAGGCACGCCGAACCTAATTTAGATATTTGCATAATTAGTCCTCGTAACAGTGGGTTACAAAATGAGTAATTAAGTATGAATAAATTACATAAATTATACTATGGAATGAAAAATTTATCGGTTATTGATGGGGACTCTGGTATGCAGTACTTATTACATCACGTAGCATAGCATTGCTCTGCGTTACATAATTTAAAGGTATTTTTAGGCCTTTTAAGATGGCCTTATAGATTTGTCAAGATGTCTGTCTGTCCGTCCGTCTGTCTGTACGCACGATAACTCTCTTTAAACACAAGCTATCGACTTGAAATTTTGTACACTTGATCTTCAGGTCAAAAGTAAGGATGAGTTCGAAGATGGACATGATCGGTCAATTGGTTGGCCGGTGGGGGCCACTTCCACCCAAATGTGTTGCCATTAACTACCAAGATCCATCTTAAAAGGCCCCGCAAAGTTGCTTGGACTAAGTTTTTTTCTAAATTATTTTGCTAACTCGTAATGAACACCTTTATTATCCTGTAAAATCAGCACGCAAAATTGAAAGCGAACTTACACATTGTTCAACAATAATCCTGGATGATTCAACTTTGGAAAGCTGTAGACAGCTGTAGAATCTCCTCTTGGGTCACCACCCCTGTCCAGAATTGTCCTTCGCACTGCTCCAGCCACACCGGCATGAATTACCGAGGTCACTTTGGCCCCAATCTTTTTAGAAATTCGTTTCAGCAAGGTTAGATCAATAAGTGTAGACACAATTATTATTCCATCAGGCCCAATGTCCGCATCTTCTTTAAAATCATGAGGGATGCTTTGTGAATTAATCCCTTGCAACCAACAGTACAATGTTTCTGACGGGGCTATGAATATGAGTTGGAAAAGGTAGCACATTTTTTCCCAGAAATTTAACGTGTTGTTCTTCCTGACGGCCTTTAGCAGTCGATTCATTTCCTCGTCAAGCGCGACATCTTTGTCACACAGGTCGCGAACTAAGTTCATTAATGCTAATCCATCACCGAGCGTGTGATGCATTCTGATTCCTACAGCCGAAAATGTTCCATACTCCACATGCGCATAATTAGGTAGCGATACAATCTCCCACAGCGGTTTCCCGATGGGATAGCTTTTCTGGAGTAGATCGGTCAAAACTAGGGAAAGTTTTGCAGGATCGGATTCTTCGTTTAGACAGACATGATTTGAAATTTGAAAATCGTCACATTTTTGCCAGAAATAGACAGACATCCATCGGGTTAACGTGCACATTAATTTTGGTCGCTAAATAAGTACATGCATATATTTATTGTAATCATGCAGATCATGTGGGTATTCGCGTCACTTATGTAAAAACGCAACACATATTCGCACCTTCGAGGTGTTTACGAAATGTTTTTGAACTATCTGTTCTAACTTAAAATAAATACATAAACTGAAAATTAGAGAAGAAATAAAGATTCGTTTGATGACGATTTCTTGAAAAATAGTTTACGACGTAAATACAGATACATAGATGCCATTTTGCATCGCATATCTCGTAAAAAAAGTAAAGGAATCTGGTTAGTTGTCGCATCGCTACTCTTCTTCGCAAACCGGACAAAGTTGCAAAGATATGTCAAGAAGCACCTTTCACGACGCTAACGATGTTGACGTGAAAACCCACAATGAATATACTTATAAAAAAAGTTAAAAGTTTACTATATAATTATTTATGATTTATCCATACCTCAGACACTACTTTTTCAACCCGAGTCACCAATTCCTCAAAAGAATGACTTTGTTTTAAGTAAACTACACCAGAAATTGAACATCTTGGTCGTCCGTGTACATCATCCGTTATGTGAACACAGTCTTCAGCACTTAATGGAATATACGGTCCACATTTCCACTTTGAGAAAAATACAATAATTCGTTTGTAGATGTAAAGTGGTGCAGCAACAAGGATGAGGAAAGATGGAAGGATAAAATACGCGAGGAAAATTGACGAAATCAGTAAGAAAAGTTTGTTACTTAATAATACACTTAAAGTCATGATGGAACGAATTTGTTCTATTCTTTTGTTTTGCGTTTGTAGTGATGGCAGATGGAAGACTGAGGAAAAGTCTACAAGTTCATTAGTGTTTATTTGGAATTCATTCGAGTATGACATGTTTATTTGCTTATCCTTAGTGTACTGACATATGAGAGGTTACCTGGCGTGTAAATGTCACGCTCATGCTCACGTTATCCTTTGTTTGTAAGTATCTAAATACTTGGGGCGAGAGTTACTCTACGAGGTATGGATGGAGTAACAGTTTTTATGTTTTGGACATAATTTTGATATATCCTTGTTTAGCTCAGGATTGCTTGGTTTACTTTTTAATGTAATTGTATTTAATTTGTGCGTAAATCTACTTTGGGGAAGTGTGTATTCTAAATTTTATTTGGTATATTTTAAGCTTGCGTCAGTGTGAGTTGCCTCGACCGTTGAATAGAAATAACAAGAAGAGTCACTTTGCTCTTTGTTAAGCAAGTAAGGTGGATGATTCTCCAAGTCAACTATGAGAGGTCAAAAAATGGTCAAAGTTCACACGTAAAATAACTTTATCTCTCGGAAAACGACCGAGTATGCAGCCGACTTAAAACAAAAGCTGGGGGTTTAAATCATTCTTAATTCCCAGATGCTTGTGACAAGTCCTGTTGCCACCCCTTTAGATTTTTATTGGTCTTATAATTAGACTACTAAAACAATAGATTCATCTATGACAAGCTATAACCTTCTCAAAAAGCCATACATCACTGCCGGACAGGCAGATACTAACCAGCCATGCAATTCAGACGCTTACTGTATTCTGACCGAGGCTTTCAATTTAAATCTCGCCAAAGTTGTCCTAGTTTTCTGACGTTTTTCGTCCGTTAAAGTTATTCGCATCAATTTAGAATCAAAAATTAAACTTAAGAATGTCACCATTTGTGACGGAAATAAAACCGATTTCTTTCCTATCGTAAAACCCAGCTCATTGAGAGTGGAAATAGTGAAATTAATATTTGATAGACATTCTTGTCTTGTATTTCCGAACACTAAAAAATCATCCAAGTATCTCACTGATTCAAAATTCATTTTTCTCAATTTTTCAAAAACCGGCATTAAAATTATGGTAAAAATTAATGGGGCACAGCAAATTCCAAATGCTAAACAATTAAATTGGCAAAGGATATTGTTGTATTCGAATTTTAAGTATTTCCGATAACTTTCATGCTCCGAATATGGAAATATGGCATCCTTAAGATCCAACGTGCCCATAAACATTCCCCTTTACAATAAATTGACGACCTTTCCTCCATCTTAAAGTGGGGACAATATAAGAATGTATTTAATTTTAAACATTCAGAATAAACCTTCGACTTCCTTCGCTCATTGGAATAGTAAAAATTGGCGAGATAAACTCACTTTTCTCATGGGGAGAAAATGAAATTGCCCCCATTTTTAGTGGTCTTTCAATTTCTTCATTAATAAAATTACTCTCAGATAATGAGAAAGAAGGATTATTTGATACATTTACTTGTACCGGAATGTTAACAAAGGGTAATTTAAAACCCTTAGCTTCAATAGCTTCAATAACAGATTCATCGTCAGTCAAATCAACCTTCTTCTCAATAAATTTAGTCTGCCGGCTAATAAATCTCTTACATTTGTTGTTGACTGCGGTTGGGATATCTGCCTCAGAATTGTGATCTGCCTCCTCTCGCAAATATCCCCGTTGTGGAGGAGGACGATTGAAGTTTAAACGTCTTTGAAATGAAAATGATGGGCCCCCAAAGCCATTGGAAAATGACATGTTGCTTGCCCTAACCTGGCTTATTGTTTAGCGAATGATTTTTGAGCTGGATTTTGCCAGCGATAAATCTTTCTCCAAATTACTCCCAAAAAGAAGTTCTGTTATTGCACTTGAATTGTTGCAAATTCCGACACAATCTTGTGTCAAATGGGGCTTAATTGATTGCCTTCTCTTAATGCTAATTTCATAGTGTGCAGTAGCGTTTTGAGTGGCACCATCCATCACATTGTGTAACAATAGCTTCAAAACATTGCCAGGAATTTAGTTTGCATTTTCAAACAGTATTTGAGCCGTTTTTGCTTGAGAAATCAGAGATCTACTAATAGATTGTTGGATGAACTGCTGCGCAGCATCTATTGTCTGAGATCGGCGCTTAAGGCCTTGCCAAATTTCAGGATTGACCTTTGGGGTTCCCAATTTGATTGTGTTTGAGGGAATTTTTTAAAGCCCACTTTTGCCTTTTCAATATTTTCTTTTGTGTGTTCTTTGCTCAACATTGACTTGAATGCAACGGCCACTTTTTTATTTAAGGGGAGGCCATATTCTTGTATACTGACATTGCTCAACAGTATTTCCATTAATAATAGAATTAATTTCAGGATTGTCAGAATTATCTGATTCAGAAAAGATATTCCAATCCTATTTCTCATAATTTTAAAAAACTATGCATGGTAGGTAATTTTCTTACCATGATTAGCCAATCTTATAAAAGTTTTCTTTGGTTTTCTTTGGTTTTCAATCGCTTTCGGCAGCGCCGAAAGGGCCTCTATTTTATTACAATTTTCTTTGACCGTCTGCGACAAGTCATTGAGGCTTTTATCCATAGTTTTGGATTTCTTTGGGCTTTGTAATTTGCTTTAGAAGTTCTAATAGAATAAAAATAAAACCAGAAAAGGAATGTACTGCGTACATTCTATTCTATTATGTACTGCGTACATTTTCAAATCATTATGCACTGCGTGCAATTTAAATTTTCTTTGACCGTCTGCGACAAGTCACTGAGGCATTTATTCATAGTTTTGGCTTTCTTTGAGCTTTGTTATTTGTTTTAGAAGTTCTAATGGGATAAAAATAAAAACAAAAAATGAATGTACTGCGTACATCATATTTAATTATGTACTGCGTACATTTTCAATCCATTATATTGCACTGCGTGCAATTTACTTCACTGTGTTTCACACAGGATATATAAATATATTAATTTGAAAAGTGAGGGTGGCCAATTTAAAGTAAAAATATTTTTTCTTACCGTTTTTTATAGGAATATTTTCTATTTCTTCTTTTTCGGTAGGGGTAGACATTTTGTGCACGAGGAGCTGGAGCGAGGTCTTCAGTCTAGCAGGCGTAAATCAACACTGATGGGTGATTGGGGCGGAGCGGAGGAATAAGGGACCAGCCAAGCATTGTTTTTTAGTTTGTTCTTTAAACAACGCCTCAGCTAGCAGAGTGAGTCAGCATACTACAAGTCAACCACTCGTCTTCATCGTGACCTCTGAAGGCGAAGGTTGGAAGTATAATCGTAATGAATACCATCGTACTCCGATAAAATTAGCCCTGCAACTTACATATTGTTCGACAATATTCCGGGATGGTTTAACTTTGGAAAGGCGTAGATAGCTGCAAAATCTCCTATAGGATCACCACCCCTTTCCAGAATTGTCCTTCGCACAGCTCCAGCCACACCGGCATGAATTACCGAGGTCACCTTGGCCCTAATCTGTTTAGAAATTCGTTTCAGGAGGGCCAGGTCAATAAGCGTGGATACAGCTATTATTCCGTCAGATCTAATGTTCACATCCTGATTGGAATCATGCGGGATGCTTTGTGAATTAAACCCCTGGAACCAACAGTACAATGTTTCTGACGGCGTTATAAATACGAGTTGGAAAAGGTAGTAGATTTTTTCCCATACATTTAACTTATTCTTCTTCCTGACGGCCTTTAGCAGTCGATTCATTTCCTCGTCAAGCGCTGCATCTTTGTCACACAGGGTGCGAACTAAGGACAGAAGAGCTAATCCGTCCCCGACGGTGTGATGCATTCTGATTCCTACAGCCGAAGATGTTCCATACTCCACATGCGCATAATTAGGTAGCGATACAATCTCCCAGAGCGGTTTCCCGATCGGATAGCTTTTCTGGAGCAGATCAACGAAAACTTGGGAAAGATTTGCGGGATCGGATTCTTCGTTTAGATTGACATGATTTGAAATTTGAAAATCGTCACATTTTTTCCAGAAATAGACTCGGGTTATGGTGCACGTTAATTTCGGTCGCTAAATATATGCAGATACGTATGTAAATCAGCATGAAAATAATGAATATTTCAGAAAGTTACTGTTTACTAAAATTATTCATACTTTTTCCATACCTCAGATGCTACTTTTTCAACCCGAGTTACCAATTCCTCAAAAGAATAACTTCCTTTTAAGTAAACTACGCCTGCCATTGAAGATCTAGGTCGGCCATGTATATCGTCCGATATGTGAAGACAATCTTCTGCACTGAAGGGAGCACATAGTCTACGTTTCCACTTTGAGAAAAATACAATAATACGTTTGTAAATGTAAAGTGGTGCAGCAACAAGGATGAGGAAAGGTGGTAGGATAAAATACGCGAGAAAGATTGAGGAAATCAGTAAGAAAAATTTGTGCTTGCTTAAAAACACCTTCAAAGAAGTCATGTTGGAACGAATTTGTTTTCTGGTGTAGTTATGCAACGTATCTCAGGTTGAGGACTGAGGAAAAATTGACAAGTTCATGAGTGTTTATTTGGTATTAGAGCAAGCGTATGTTTTTGCACTTTATCCTGCTTACCTGGGTGCTCTGGAGTCTGAGTTTTTAACAAATTCTGGACGTAATTTGGGTATTGTATGTACATGCATATGTATGTATATCCTTGTTGAGCTAAAGATTACCTGGTAGGTTGATTAACGTACTTAATGAAAGCGTAATTTGTATGGCAATCTACTATTGGGGAATGCGAACTCTAATTTGGATTTTTTAAGAAATGTCAAAGATTTGTTTATTTCATTGTGAATACTGACAACTGATGTATGAAAACATGCCAATATGTATGTAGGATGTGTAATTAAGGAATGTATTGCATCTATGTGACACATTTGACACTGTCAAATGTATTGTGTCTTGATTTCTATATATTAAGTTTTACTAAATTGTTTATGGGAAGATTTGTTAGATTTCTTTACTTATTTACCATGTTACATACGCATATATGCAAGTATATTTATGTATGTACATGATTAACTACGTAAATTATGTAGATATTAATACAGGGATTGCAAGATGAAATATTTTTGTGCTAGACATTAACTAATATTTAATAAAGCTGTCAATTTCAGGTAATAATTTTCCACCTTAAATTCCAGCTCAATCAATTGAAGCTGTGATCAGAAGTTAAACGAAAACTTAACAGCACGAATACATACAAAATTAATTATGGAAACTTAGATAGAGCTAAACCAGGGTGCATAAACCTATTTGTTGTCCATGGTTTCTCCTAAGGGGGTGGTGCAAGGATGAAAATTTTTATTCAAAAATTAAAAGTTGGGGAATTATAAATGCATAAAGCATGAATTGAAATATATATTTAGGTTGAGTTTTTCATATCTACATATGACAAGACTTATTGACATTTTTGTCTAAAATTATCCATCCATCGATTCAAACTCGTCCTCAACATAGTTCACAACTCGCATTAAACTTTCCTCGTCTGGAAAAACTTTCCTATCTCCGACCAGTTGCAGACCCAATTTTCCATGATAACTTGCAGTCACGACTAGCAGAGGATTTCCCGCACGCTGCAACCCCGGGGCGAAGACCGCTCTTTCCAAACTCGTTCCAAACATTTTCATCGTCTCACCAAAGTAGGCTCCGTTCGAATGGATGTAAGTGCAAGTAGTTGGCATAAATTTCATCTGTCCCAAGGTGCCCAGCACTAAGCCCAAAGTCACAAATTGGATCATCATTCCGATTGGTAGAGGGGTGTAGAAGAGCTGATCCAATTCGTATGAAATCCGCGCAAGTCGTTGAAACCTACCTTCTCCAGACATCGGAGTAACTAGAGGCACGCCAAACCTGGTTAAAGTTAGATTTTGAGGCTATTAACAACAGATTCATTTATTATCGTAAGGCGAATGTACATATTTCAACACTAATCTACATGATTTCTAATGCTAAATTTTGAGCTTACAAAAAAATACAAAACACATGTTAAGTCGTTCTAAGCATACATGCCCTCTATTTTTCAATCGCCCGAAAATTCCAGACTTTGGAAACTCCTGGGAAAACTAAAAAGTGATTTAGGCTAAAAAATTATTTTGAAAATTTCGCCACGCGTCAAATTCGCATATAAAAACATCGCTTATTTTTGCCCATAATCTAATTAAATCTAGTCCAGTAAAAATCTGACGTTAGCGTCTGACACCTTCGCCTTATAAGAACAAATACAGGGTGCCCCATTTATTTGTGTGAAAGTTTGAGACATCAATGCTCACTGGCGGGTAAATAAAATTCAAACTTATCGCCAAAATCGGGTAGAGCAACTCAAAAATAGTTTGCTGAAATTTTTTGTAAACTCATTTTAAAAAATGCCCTCACCGTGCTCACTTGAAACAGAGGTACTAGTGAAATACTTTTCCAGCCGATTTTCCACGGGAATCGTTATGAAACAGAGCTTAAATTATATTGTAATTGACTAAATTTGCAGTTAATTTATAAAATAGTGCATGGTAGATATATTCAAATTAAATCCAATAGTCTAACATCATTATCACCTTCGAAAAACTACCTACTGCTGAACGCCCGAAAAAGCTTAAAATTCGGTTGGGCGACTTAACCCACCATGAAAATCCCGAATCCCAATGCAGCATGGTCAAACTATTAAAACGCAATAGATCGATTATCCTGAGACTAATTAAAACTGATTTGGGAAGGATTATAACAAAAATGTGCTAAGTAGGTCTGCACATTTGGAGAGCTCAAACTTTTTTAGACTTCCTGCTGAGAAAACTCAGCAGTGAGCAAAAACGGGTGACGATGATTTTGGTCCTGCAGTCCTAAAAAATCAAGAAACCCCTTGTTAGTCATCCGACATTGACCGTTTAGTTTTTTCAGGATTTTTCATCGTGACACAACAACTTTTATACGGAAAAATTTACGATTTTTGATGCATTTTGGAACGCTTAAAGTAATTGGTCAAAGAATACCCTAGTAAAGTGCCTGGAAGTATTTTTATCGGGTAAAAAGCGATGCATTCTTGAAGATAAGAACAAGGGCCGTCATATCGAACAAGTTTTCCATTTAAAAAAGGTCTGGTTGTAGGTTAGAAAAATTGTGGAATTTTCACACAGATAAATGGGGCAACCTCTGTACTTACGCATTATTCGACAATGTTCCAGGATGGTTCAATTTGGGAAGAGCGTAGATAACTGAAATATCTCCTTTAGGGTCGCCACCCTTGTCTAGAACGGTCCTTCGAACAGCTCCCGCCACACCGGCGTGGACTACGGACGTTACATTGACCCCGGTCTTCTTCGAGATACGTTTCAGCAAGGTCAGATCAATCAAAGTCGATGCGTTTATCGTCTCATCAGAATCACAGTTCGGATTCTGGTTTGAATTTCGCGGAATGCCTTGCGCGCTCAAAGCGTTGAACCAACAGTACGTGACTTGCGCCGGGGTGATGAAAATTAGTTGAAATAGGTAGCTAACTTTTTTCCAGAAATTTAAATTCATTTTTTTCCTTATCGCTTTCAAAAGTTTTTCGACTTGCTTATCAGAAGCGGGATCTTTCTCGCCCAAGTCGCGAACGACGGACATGAATCCTAAAGTGTCCCCAACGGTGTGATGTACTCGCATGGCTACAGCTGAGGATGTTCCGTACTCCGCATGCGCATAATTCGGCAGGGATATGAACTCCCAAAGCGGTTTTCCGGCAGGAAAACTTTTATTGGTGAGACTATTCAAAATTTTTGAAAGTTTTTCTGGATCGGATTCTTCGTTTAGGGAGATGTGATCGGAAATTTTGAAGTCCTCGCATTTTTTCCAAAAGTAGATGTACATCCATCGCGAAATGGTGTGTGTTGATCTCGGATACTGAGTAAAATATGGAGAACACAAAAGTTTATTTTTGTGGTAAATTCTTACCGACTGAAATTCCATGTACTTTTGTAAGTAGGTTTTAACCTTATCCGTTAATCCTTCCAGTTTAATGACTAAATCTTCGAAGGAATGGCTACCTTTTAAGTATATCACGCCGCAAATTGTGCATCTCGGTTTTCCGTAGAAGTCGTCATTAACGTGGAGACAATCGTCAACAGTTAAGGGGGCATAAAACCCATTTTTCCACTTTGATGAGAGAAATATTATTATTCTTCTGTAGATATAAAGTGGTGCAAGAACAAAGATAAAGACAGGTGGAAGGATTAAATACGCAACGAGGATTGACGCAATTACCAAGAAAATCTTACTTCAAAATAACGAAGATATTGAGGTCATTGTGAGACGAAATTTTTAATTGTGATTAAAAGCGGACGTTTCACATGGAGGAAATTTCTACAAATACTGGCGTATTTTTCATGCAAATTATTCAGCAACTGCCAGATGGACGGTTATTCATGAACTGACCTGCACCACTTATCTGTGTCACTATGTATGCGAATTTTTATTTTAATCCGTTTAGCTTGAGTTTATGTATCTATACATACATACATACATACATATGTGTATATGCGGCTTTACATATGTAGCTATATATTTATATTGCATACACTTGCATAAGTAATAATATTTGGGCTGAGCAACTATGTCTTTATTTTGTGTTCAGTTTGAAGAAAAATTGGATGCAATTGATAAGCATTCGTCATATTTAACATATTCGTCATAACATTATTCCATTACTGTATGTATTCGAATCCAATAACACGCTCATTGCTTGCATACATCTACAGATAGGTTAGGTACATATACAGATGTATGTAGATCAGTATGCGAACATAAATAAGTACGTATGTCGTCAAGACATGGTTGTGTAGGTTTTATGCAATGAATCGTTGATGCACACGTTGATGCATTGGAACGGTTCATGATTAAAATGCTTCTTTATTTTATTAATTGACCTTAAAGTGCATAATCCTTTGACAAAATACACATGCATACATACAAAAAAATACGTTGCAATTGTGGCATTACGATCTAAAAGTGTCCAGCTATTAATTTCATAGATATATACATATGTAAATACATACAAAAATACATATATGTAAATATGTAAGTATATAACATATCTGCACTTCAATTCTCTGCGAATACAATTCTAAACTTACTAGTTAATTGAATAAATCAGTGCATGTCATACATATATATGTAAAGCTCTGTATGTACAAGCTCTGTATGTACATACATACTCGATTTAGTTCTCACTTCTACTAAACTTTCTTCGTTTGACAAAAAATGGCCTACTTATTATCTGCTAATGCGACACTGTGCACGTTAAACCCTTCAGAGTTTCAGCCTTGTAAGCTAGGCTGGTAATTGTACGTATTGTATGGTAAATTGCAGTACAAAATTTAATCCGATATTCAGTATTGAGTTAACCATAAAATGATAGTATGACTAGTTAAATATGGAAATTGCGATGTAATTTACATAGTTAATAAGAAATAATTTACCCAACTTGACTTAAAGGGGCCCAACTTTAATTATACTTACAAGTGAGTTGCATAATTTAGTAAGGAAGCTCAGAATTTAGGAATGAGTAACTTTATATATGCACATTTAATATATGTTGTCTTTGACGAATTAAAGTTTTACAATGAATTAAGGTTTCCGTTTATTTACGTAAGCAAGAATTTCATGTGTCTTAAAACTAAATATTTAATTGTTATTATTCAACAACGATGTCTTTGATGTCTTACAATTGGAGGGGCTGCATTGACCCTTTTTGTCTAAAATTATCCATCCATTGATTCAAACTCATCCTTTACATAGTTCGCAACTCGCATCAAACTTTCCTCGTCTGGGAAAATTTTCCTATCTCCGACCAGTTGCAGACACAATTTTCCGTGATAACTATAAGTCATCACAAAGAGAGGATTTCCCTTGAGCTGCAATCCGGGAGCTATGACAACCCTTTCAAATATATTTCCAAACATTTTCATCGGCTCGCCAAAATAGGCGAAATTTGTGTGAATGTAAGTAAAACCATTTCGCGGATTCTTCATGTGACCGAAGATGCAAAGCAATAATCCAGACATGTACATAAACAGCAGCATTCCGATCGGCAGGGGGGTGTAGAAGAGCTGATTCAATTGTTTAGAAATCTGTCCGAGCCGTTGAAACCGATTTTGTCCAGCCATCGGGGTGAACAGAGGCACGGCGAATCTAATCATAGATGTAATTACATGTATAGTATGCAAATATGTTAGAGCTTAACGTTTATGACTCACAAGGGAAACTTCCGAGGTGTCGTGTCCAGGGTACGCACCATGTTTTTTGGAATCTACTAGGACCCTAGATGAAGGATCCATTCATATTTATGTGCAAAACTTATATTTGGCGCCGTGCCGCCATATTGGCCAAATTTGATTGTTTTTAATTTTAAAATCGTCATAACTTTTGAAATCCAGGACACACTTTCATGATTTTTGACAAAAATCATGACAAAGAGTTCAACTTTCATATACAATGAAATTTTTCCAAAAATAGCTTTTAAATTTTTCGCAAAATTTCGTAATTTTCTTAGGCATTTGGGTTCGTCGAAAAAATCGTAAAAATATCTCAAAAATTAAAAATAATTTGTTTTTTACTTTTTTCCCTGAAATTTTGACTTTTATGATCAATTTAAGTACAAAATCTTGAAAATCTAACAGAAACTGCAAAAGTTATAGCTTTGCGAACTTGGTCGAAAATGCGAATTTTTAAGTTTGGTGCCACGGCACGGCGCCAAATATAAGTTTTGCACGTAAATATGAATGGATCCTTCATCTAGGGTCCTAAAAAAACATAGTGGGTACCCTGGACACGACGGGCACCTCGGAAGTCTCCCTTGTCAGGTAAAAACGAATGCACGAGGGTGATTTATTATTGATTTTCAAAAAGTATGTTCCGCTCTGTTTCTGACCAAACTTTTGATGAAATAACTTCAGATACATTTAGGAAGCTGATTTTTCTCAGTTCTGTATGTTAACATTAACAATAGCAATAAATCAACAAACTTTACCTCGACGGAAAAAATGTTAGATTTGTAAATGAAATATCGTAGTGTGATTTAATTTTTAATGCTGGAGGGGCAATCCGTGTCACAGATTTATGATCGTATGCTTGAAATTTACGATAAAAACTGCCCAACACAAGGCACAATATAGATGGGTCAATAACTTCAAATGATGGCGAAAAGAGGCCCCGGAAAAAAAGTCGCCAGGGCGCCCAAAATCGGTTTCTACCGCAGAAAACCTCCAGAGACCAGAAAAATCAATAATGAGAGATCCACGATTGAAACTGTCCAATTTAGCAGATGAGATGGGTGTTCCAAAACCAACAACTTGTTCCATGTTAACTGAAGACTTAGGTATGAAAATGGTTTCCGTCAGTTGGGTTACCCAACTTGGGTACCCAAATTGCTTCCTCCATCTCGAGTCGGCTTTCCTAATGCGAATTTTGTAGTTTTAAATGAAAACTGGAACCTGCTTCATATTTAGTAGGTGCATACGATACTTGAGTTTACTATTATGAGACATAAACCAAAAAATAATCCATGCAATGGATGCACGGGGTCTCCACCCCCCATGAAACAAAAGCTCAAAAATCTGCCAAAAAATTGAGGATGACCAGTTTCAAGGATACTAAAGGACCCCTCCTTATCAAATTTATTGCTAGAAATGAGTTCGCTTATGCAGGAACCCCGAAGGAGCTGCGTGCTGCGGTTAAAAAAACGTGGGGTCAAAAGATAGAGTTGGTGCATTTTTTGCTCGCCAATGCGCCACCTCATACCTGGCTTTTTGTGATGGTTGCTGCAGACGAAAATTGCTTCGCCGTCATAAACCACCTACTGTACAATCCAGACTTGACCATTAGTGATTATTATTCGTTTCGAAACTTAAAGAAAAACATCAGGGGGAAACGATTTCCGGATGATAATGCAGTCACATCGTGAATTTTAGGATATTTTAGATGTAAAGTTTGCTGATTTATGGCTCGTGTTAATGTTAACCTACAGAACTGAAAAAAATCACAGCCTCATAAATGTATTTGAATCAAATACATTTCAAATAATTTGAAGTTTGTTATATCATCATTTCATGTTATTTCAAGTTTGGCCAGAAACAGGGCAGAAAATACATTTTGAAAATCAGTAATAAAACACCCTCGTAAATATCTATTGACCAATACTACAAAAATCCACTTACACATTGTTCGACAGTGTTCCCGGATGATTTAATTTCGGGAGGACGTAAAGACAGACCAAGTCTCCCGCACGGTCACCACCCCTGTCCATAATTGTCCTTTTAACAGCTCCAGCCACACCGGCGTGACATACGGACGTTACATTTACCCCAGTCTTCTTCGAGATACGTTTCAACAATGGCAGATCAATCAAAGTCGATACATTTACTAGCATCGGTTCATCAGGGTCAAAGTTTGGATCTTGATTTGAACTTGGCGGGATGCACGGGGAGTTAATACCTTGCATCCAAAGGTACAGCGCTTGAGCGGGGGTGGCGAATATTAATTGGAAAACGTAACTAATTTTTTTCCAGAAACTTAATTTCATTTTTTTCCTTATTGCTTCCAACAACTTTTCGACTTCTTCATCAGCGGCGGGATCTTTGTCACACAGATCGCGAATTATCGCCATGAAACCTAACCCATCGCCCAGAGAATGATGAACTCGCATGGCTATAGCGGAGGAAGTTCCGTACTCCACATGCGCATAATTCGGCAGAGATATGAACTCCCAAAGCGGTTGTCCGACCGGGAAGCCCTTATCGATCAGACTGGTAAAAAATTGTGAAAGCTTTTCTGGATCGGATTCTTCGTTTAGAGAGATGTGATTTGAGATTTTGAAATCTTCACATTTTTTCCAAAACTTGACCGACATCCATCGCGTAATTATACACATTGATTTAGGATGCTGAAAAAATTATTAATATTTATTTTCGAATTTGTACGAGAAAAATTTCTACGGAAATTACACACGAATAATTTTCACACCTTAATAGCTGCTTTTTCCATCTTTGTTACCAAGTCGTCAAACGTGTGGCTGCATTTCAAGTAAACTATGCCAGAAATTGCGCGTCCTGGTCGTCCGTGTATATCGTCAGTTCCATGGATACAATCGTCAAGAGTTAAAGGTGCGTAGAGTCCTTCTTTCCACTTTGAGAGAAATGTCACAGTTCGATAGTAAGTGTAAAGTGGGGCAGCAACGAGGATGAGGAAAAGTGGCAGAATAAAGTATTGGAAGAAAATTGAGAAAATTAAGAAGAACGATTTACTTCGAAATATCGAGGAAATTGAGGCCATTGTGGGATGAGATTTTTAATCGTGATTAGAAGAGGACAGATTCAGAGTGAGGAAAAATCTGCACATAATCGTGTATTTATCATGCATATTAAATAACTGCAAATGGACGGTGATCTACGAATTGACCTATACCATTTATGTACACAGGGTATATATTTTCGTTTTAATCCATTCAGCTCTAGTTCATTTAAATGTATATGTACGGCCATACATAAATATGCTCATATGCGACTTTCGCTGTTCGTATTGTATACATTTGCTAACCATGCATATTTGGGCTGAGGGTGAGTAATTATTCATTTTGTATTTAAGTAAGTGTGCCCACTTGTCTTGCATATTAAGAAATGTATGCGTTATGTACATATGTACATATCTCAGCCTCATCCCGTTTAAGGAAAAGTTTGCAAATAATTGATAAGGATTTATCGTACTTATTGCTCAACTTGAACCCATGAATATGAATTTGAATACAATAATGCGCTCGTTGTTCACATATATGTGCAAATAGTTTAAGTAGATCAGTAAGCCAACACAATTTAAATATGTCACCAAGACAATATTTGCATTTACATTTACATATATACAATTAATAACGAGGTGTTAACCGCTACCGAAAGGTTTGCATATGGGACTTTACCGCGCGGTGATAATTTTTCGCGCATAATGGCGCATAAAATCAGCATCTGCCAGTACACTTTGTCACCTTGCGGGTAAAATTGATCACCATCCAGTGAAGTCACATCTGCACACCGCGGGGTGACCATTAACACCGGGTTTTTAACCGGAGTGGATGCATATGCTGTTACATGCAATTGCGACATTGCGATGGAAAAGACTCCAGCCATTAGTTTCAACTTTCAGTATACATATGTATATACGAGGAGAGGTCGTGAAGTATGTAGCTCGACCATGAAGGAGGGTCATTCTGTCACACTTTTTTAATTGGTGCGAAAGGTATACTCAAATATATCTCAGATTTCATTACATACAAATTTACGGTCACGGCCGAGTCGAGGAGGTCGTTCGAGACACCGGACTTTTTGGCTCCGTAAACGACGATAACTGGGACTTATTATGCCACAATTTCGAAATTTTACGCTAAGTCGTCATATATGAAAGTCGAAATGGATAATAATCACCAGGGGCAAGACCTCGAATGCACGGAGGATGAAATAATTCTGCCACCATTTCGCTTAAAATGGCATCCTTCGAACCTTTGGATGTTTGAACCGGAATTTTCACGTGAAAAGCAAGCAACTGTTCTGTATACAGAAAAGTTGAATACGAAAATAGCGTGAAAATAGTGAAAAATATATAGTGAAAATTCCGGTTCAAACATTCAAAATTTCGAAGGATGCCATTTTAAGCGAAATGGTGGCAGAATTATTTCATCCCCCGTGCATTCGAGCTCTTGCCCCTAGTGACTATTATCCATTTCGACATTTTAAAAAAGACCTCAGGAGGAGAAGATATTCAATGATGAATGAGGTTAGACATGCCGTTATGTCGCTTTTTGACCAGCAAGTCTAAAAAAACCCGCAGAAGGTAAGACTTTTTGAAATTCAAGCGACCAAGTGTGTTGACCTCCCAGGGATTATAATGAAAGGTAGAGGGCAAGTACACGAGATTTATTGCTCCTTCATGGCCAAGCTACGTATTTAACGACCTTCCCTCGTATGCTCGATTTATGTACATATGTATGTAGGTAAATAGTTGACAACTCTATTAAACTTTCCTCGTTTGATAAGCAACTGGCTTATTGTCGGATAGAGCGACATTGCATGTTAAATATATATTTGTATGTCCGAGTTTCAGCCTTATAAGCTAGGCTATTAACTGTATGTACATATTCTGTGGTAATGGAAAGTTCAAAATTCAATCCGATATGCAATATGAAATTAATCATAAAACGATGGTATGAATAGTTAAATCTGGAAATTACGATGTAATTTAATCAGAAATAATTTACCAAACTTAACTTCAAGAGGACCAATCTTTAATTCAATTTATAATTACAAATGAGTTGCATAATTACGTAAAGAAGCTCAGAATTTTGATGAGTTACTTTGCGTATATGTTGTCGCTTAAGAATGAAAGTTTTAAAACGCATAAAGATTTCTGTTTTAAGACTTAAGTCTGACTTTCCATGCGTCTTAAAACTGTTTATGAATACGGTTCGTACATATTTATTTCATTGTTGTTCTGCAACAAAGGTATGCTATTGCCTTTAATTTGAGGACTCCGGTATTGACTCTTTATGTCCAAAATTATCCATCCATCGATTCAAACTCCTCCTTTACATAGTTCGCAACTCGCATCAAACTCTCCTCGTCTGGAAAAACTTTCTTATCTCCGACCAGTTGCAGACCCAATTTTCCATGATAACTTGCCGTCAGGACTAGGAGAGGATGAACCTCGCGCTGCAGCCCCCCGGCTAGGGTAAATCTCTCCACTACATTTCCAAACATTCTCATCGGCTCGCCAAAGTAGGCAACGTTTGAGTGGAAGTAAGAGAAATAATTTGGCGCAGGCATCATCTGACCGATGGAACCAAGCAATAATCCATACGTGTATATGCATAGCATCATTCCGATCGGCAGGGGGGTGTAGAAGAGCTGATCCAATTGCTTAGAAATCTGCGCCAGTCGTTGAAACCGATCTTTTCCAGACATCGCGGTGGATAGAGGCACGGGAAACCTAAATAGAGACGTAATAAACAATAGTGCACAAAACTTAGCCTTTGTGAATCAGGTAAAAACAAATAAATAAAATATATATTGACCAATACTACAAAAATCCACTTACACATTGTTCGATAGTGTTCCTGGATGGTTTAATTTCGGGAGGACGTAAAGACAGACCAAGTCTCCCGTAGGGTCACCACCCCTCTCCAGAATTGTCCTTCTGACAGCCCCCGCCACTCCGGCGTGGACTACGGACGTTACATTGGCCCCAGTCTTCTTCGAGATACGTTTCAACAATGTCAGATCAATCAAAGTCGATACATTTACCAGCATCGGTCCATCAGGGTCAAAGTTCGGATCGTGATTTGAACTTGGCGGGATGCATGGGGAGTTAAAACCTTGCATCCAAAGGTACAGCGCGTGAGCCGTGGTGGCGAATATTAATTGGAAAACGTAACTAATTTTTTTCCAGAAACTTAATTTCATTTTTTTTCTTATTGCGCTCAACATCTTTTTGAGTTTTTCATCAGCGGCGGGATCTTCGTCACACAGGTCGCGAATTACGGCCATGAAAGCTAACCCATCGCCCAGAGTGTGATGCACTCGCATGGCTATAGCGGAGGAAGTTCCGTACTCCGCATGCGCATAATTCGGCAGGGATATAAACTCCCAAAGCGGTTGTCCGACCGGGAAGCCTTTGTCGATCAGACTGGTCAAAAATTGTGAAACCTTTTCTGGATCTGATGCTTCGTTTAGAGAGACGTGATTTGAGATTTTGAAATCTTCACATTTTTTCCAAAACCTGACCGACATCCATCGCGTAATTATACACATTGATTTAGGATGCTGAAAAAAATGAATAGTTAAGTATTTCGGAATTTTTACGAGAAAAATTACTACGGAAATTACACACGAACAATTTTCACACCTTGACAGCAACTTTTTCCAGCTTTGTTACCAATTCATCAAACGTGTGGCTGCCTTTCAAGTAAACTACGCCAGTAATTGAACATCTTGGTCGTCCGTGAATATCGTCGTTAACGTGCAGAAAATCATCAAGGGTTAAAGGTGCGTAGAACCCTTTTTTCCACTTTGAGAGAAATGTCACAGTTCGGTAGTAAATGTAAAGTGGTGCCGCGAGGAAGATGAAGCAAGGTGGTAGAATAAAGTACGATACAAAAATTGATGAAATTAAGAAAAAAGTTTTACTTCGAAATATCGAGGAAATTGAGGCCATTGTGAGATGGGATTTTTTAATCGTGATTGCAAGAAGACAGATTCAGATTGAAGAAATATGTATGTATCTACAAATGATAATGCATTGTCATGCACATCACTAGATTATTGCCAACTGGACGATTAAATATGTATGAACTGACCTGCACCAGTTATCTGTGTCACTATGTACATACATATATAAATTTTTGTTGTAATTCGTTGAGCTCGAGTTTAAGTATCTATGTAAATAGTATATACATATGTATATGCATGTGTGAATTATGTACATACATTCAAACGTATGTGCAAATTCGACTTACACTTGTTAACTAATACATGATGTTTGGGCTGAGGAAGTATGCATTCATTTTGTGTTTAGTTTTGGGAAAATTGGGAGTAACTGACAAGCCTTCGCTGTCGTTATAATTGACAAGATTAATCCATTCATATGTATTCGAATTCCATAACATTCATTGCTGAAATATATACATCCATACATAAAATACATATAAATATTATAAGTAGATCATAAGATCAGTATGCGAACATAAATATGTCACCAAGCCATGGTATGCATGCAGGTTTTATACATGAATCGTTGATGTTTAATATATTCAATGTTAATGGTCATGTTGATGCATGGACATGGTTCCTGATTAAAATGCTTCTTTCGTTTATTAATTGACCTTTAAGTGTATACATATGTACGTCTTTAACAAAATATACATACAAAAGTGCAAGTTATATACTACTAGCGTATAAGCCCGTCTACCGCCAGGCGAGAGTTGATTTAGTCATCTCTTCCAGTCCAAACTGCCATAGGCACTGCCATTGCCAGTGGCAGGGGGTCTGGCATTAAATTTGGCATTTCAGTCGTCTCTGCCAGGTCGGTCTGCCTTGGGCACTGCCTATACCACTGGCAGTAATAGTGGCAGCCTAACTGGGTGATACGCGTCTACCAATTAAGACTGCCACTGGCACCGCTAGTATATAAAATTAGGCAGATAACTAAGATTGCTTTACCGCATATGCATTATTACATATTCTGCTGGAAAAGGGCAATGCCAACGGCAGCGGCATGCAATAAGATAACCGCCCAAATAAACTAACAATGGTACTGACAATGGCCACGACACCCAAATACCCCCATTAGGCCGTAACACCTCGATAACCATCAACAGGGCGCCACACCCCGATAACCGCCAACAGGGCGCCACACCCCGATAACCACCAACAGGGCGGCACACCCCGATAACCGCCAATAGGGCGCCACACCCCGATAACCACCATCAGGCCGCCACACCCCGATAACCAGCACCAGGGCGCCACACCCCGATAACCACCATCAGTCAACAAAGACCCGATAACCACCATCAGGCAACAAAGACCCGATAACCACCATCAGGCGCCACACCCCGATAACCACCATCAGGCAACAAAGACCCGATAACCACCATCAGGCAGAAAAGACCCGATAACCACCATCAGGGAACAAATACCCGATAACCCCACCAGGCCGCCACACCCCGATGACAACCATCAGGCCACCACACCCCGATAACCACCATCAGCCAGCAAAACCTGGATAACCCCACCAGGCCACCACACCTTGATAACCAACATTTATATTTTAAATTAAGGTTTTTGAATTTTCGCGCCATTCGAAACTTGACTTTCACTACTTTCACTTCCGTCACGGACAAACTTCCGTCACAGACAGATTTACTTTCACTTCCGTTGCAAACAGACATTGCCTCTTATAATATAGATTGTGGCTTTGCGATCGAAAAATGCCCAGCCATTAATTTCAACTCATAAATACATACTCAATTTAATTGATAAACCTTTCTTCGTTTGACAAGAAATTGGCTTATTATTTATGCAATTTGTGTATATTACTCGCTAAAATTAGCTATGGTAATTTAAAATTAATTACTGGGCAAGATCAAACCGTTCAAGAGGTACAAAAAAATACGCCATCACATTTTCGAATTATAATATTTGTTTCTTGAAATAATCATGAAGTACTTATTTCGCGGAATACAATTCGTGCATATTCTTATTGGACAGTAAGGAATAAATGATCGCAGGTTTAAATTGAATTTCACCCCGCTCCCAATGTAATCAAGTGGGCACGTGATTTTCGCGCGAAAATATCCTGCGATCATTTATTCCATAACGAGCAATATGTAGGTAAAAAAAATACTTACACAATCCGATAGAGCAACATTGCATGTAAAATAATTGTATGTCTATATATTTTTTAGATATTTCTATGTATATTTGAGCTACATAATTAACTATGAAAGTTCATAATTTATCCATGACATGAGCTACTAAATATGTGCTGATGTATATGTTGTATATGTAAGAATGAATGTCTTAAAACGCATAAGATTAATGCTCTATTTTAGCATGACTTTAATTCCGTGTTAAAACTATACGGTTCGAATTTCATTGTTATAATTCAACAACAAAGTTTTTTGAGTTACAGTTGGGGTCGCCTACATTGACTCTTTTTGTCTAAAATTATCCATCCATTGATTCAAACTCATCCTTAACATAGTTCGCAACTCGCATCAAACTTTCCTCGTCTGGGAAAAATTTCCTATCTCCGACCAGTTGCAGACCCAATTTTCCGTGGTAACTTGAAGTCACGACAAGGAGAGGATTTCCGTTGAACTGCAATCCTGGAGCTAGGACCGACCTTTCCAATATATTACCAAACATTTTCATCGGCTCGCCAAAATAGGCGAAATTTGTGTGAATGTAAGTGAAAGTATTATGCTTCATCTGTCTGATGGGGCCAAAAAAAGGTCCAAGCGTATGAATGCATAGCATCATTCCGATCGGCAGGGGGGTGCAGAAGAGCTGATCCAATTGCTTAGAAATCTGCGTGAGTCGTTGAAACCTATTTTGTTCGGACATCGGGGTGAACAGAGGCACGGGAAACCTAAATAGAGAAGTAATTATAGTGAGCGTACTCGCACGATAACCTTCGCATATCTCGCAAATTGAGCATAGCAACATATTTAGCTTTCAAAGTTTTAGGGGATTCCTCAAAAATTTTGCTGGAAAATCATGAGATTTTCTTTTAAAAGATTTACCCAGCAATAGAGGTATATTCTTAGGGAAAATTAGTAAAAAAAATCCACTTACACATTGTTCGATAATGTTCCTGGATGGTTCAATTTCGGAAGGATATAATTAGCTACCACATTTCCCTCGGTGTCACCACCCCTCTCCAGAATTGTCCTTCGAACAGCCCCCGCCACTCCTGCGTGGACTACGGACGTTACATTGGCCCCAGTCTTCTTCGAGATACGTTTCAACAACGTGAGATCAATTAAATTTGATACGTTTATCGTCCCATCAGAGTCACAGTTCGGATCGTGATTTGAACTTGGCGGGATGCATGGGGAGTTAATACCTTGTAGCCAAAGGTACACCGATTGAGCCGGGGTGATGAATATTAATTGGAAAACGTAACTAATTCTTCTCCAGAAATTTAAATTCATCTTTTTCCTTATTGCTTTCAACATCTTTTCGACTTCTTCATCAGCGGCGGGATCTTTGTCACACAGATCGCGAATTATCGCCATGAAACCTAACCCATCGCCCAGAGAATGATGAACTCGCATGGCTATAGCGGAGGAAGTTCCGTACTCCGCATGCGCATAATTCGGCAGGGATATGAACTCCCAAAGCGGTTGTCCGACCGGGAAGCCTTTATCGATCAGACTGGTCAAAAATTGTGAAACCTTTTCTGGATCTGATTCTTCGTTTAGAGAGACGTGATTTGAGATTTTGAAATCTTTACATTTTTTCCAAAACTTGACCGACATCCATCGCGTAATTATACACCTTGATTTAGGATACTGAAAAAATTATGAACATTTATTTCGGAAATTTTAAGAGAAAAAAACCTACCCCAAGCAACTTTGCGGGGCCTTTTAAGATGACATTAATCCATCTTGGTAGTTAATGGCAACACATTTGGGTGGAAAAGACCCCCACCGGCCAACCACTTGACCGATCATGCCCATCTTCGAACTCGTCCTTACTTTTTACCCGAAGATCAAGTGTACAAAATTTCAAATCGATAGAACGTGTTTAAAGAGAGTTATCGTGCGTACAGACAGACTGACGGACAGACAGACATCCTGACAAATCTATAAGGCCGTCTTAAAAGGCCTAATTACAACGGCAATTACATATGAACAATTTCCATACCTCGGCAGCTACTTTTTCCAGCTTGTTTACTAATTCGTCAAACGTGTGGCTGCCTTTCAGGTGAACTACGCCAGAAATTGAACCACTTGGTCGTCCGTGTATATCGTCAGTTGCGTGGATACAATCGTCATTAGTTAAGGGTTCGTAGAGTTCCTTTTTCCACTTTGAGAGAAATGTCACAATTCGATGGTAAATATAAAGTGGTGCAGCGACGAGAATGAAGAAAGGAGGCAGAAGAAAGTAAGATACGAAAATTGAGAGAATTAATAAGAAAATCTTACTTTGTAAGAATGATTTAAAGAAATTCATTGTGAAACGGAGTTTTTATTAATGATTGGATTAGGACAGATTGAACACTGAGGAAATATATTCACTTTTGTGAATATATTGTTTCATTCATCGTATTTGGTGTATTAAGTTTTTACAGTGCTGAGAGAGGTAAGGTTATCTGAATTGACCTCCACCACTCACAAGGGAACCTTAAGTACTGTCACCTCTCGATTTCCTTCGGAATGGCCTTAATCGACAGATAATTTAGTGAAACTAAATCTTTGTCATAGAACATGCGGTGCAAAATCGCGTTTTCGCGAAATATTTGGCGAGAGCTGAACCAAAACCTGCCATTTGCCCAATGGTTTTAACATAGCCACCAGCCTTTCGAATGATGAAATGAACTTCATATAATCTTATTAAATTATATTTGTACCTGTCCGCGTAATTTCAGCCCGATCACAAATATGCATAAAACAATGCAAAGATTGGCAAATTTTTTGCAAATTGCGAAAATCTGAAAACTTTCGCAAATTTAAATTTCTTTCTTTCTTTAAATTCAACAAACTTATCAGTTTAACTGTTATAAAATATATTTTTCTTATTGCAAAAAATTTGCAAAAATTTGTAACAATTAAAGTTTACATTTTTTAAATTTCGCATTTTAGAGAAACTTAAAAATTGTCATATATGCAGATATGATCGAATAAAGGGAAAGATAATTTGTTAAACAATTAAACATGCAAACATTGCAAACAAATTCTACATAATAATATTGAATTAAAAAATTGCACACATTGTAAGTTTTTGCAACTTACCAAAAGAAATACCGCAAATAATTTCGAAAAATACGTAAAAATAGACTAGCCTTGGTTATTTAAGTTATTTTCATGAAAAATTGCGAAGTTCAGTTTTTGCAAATTTTTGCAAATTTTTTGCAATAAGAAAAATATATTTTCTAACAGTTAAACTGTTAAAGTTTGTTGAATTTAAAGAAACGAAGAAATTCAAATTTGCAAGTTTTCAGATTTTCGCAATTTGCAAAAAATTTGCGAATCTTTGCATTGTTTTATGCATATTGGTGATCGGGCTGAAATTACGCGGACAGGTACAAATATAATTTAATAAGATTATATGAAGTTCATTTCATCATTCGAAAGGCTGGTGGCTATGTTAAAAGCATTGGGCAAATGGCAGGTTTTGGTGCAGCTCTCGCCAAATATTTCGCGAAAACGCGATTTTGCACCGCATGTTCTATGACAAAGTTTAAGTTTCACTAAATTATCTGTCGATTAAGGCTATTTGGAAGGAAATCGAGAGGTGACAGTACTTAAGGTTCCCTTGTCAGACTGATCATTATGATTTGTCTTGCAAATACATATGTAAGCATCTAAATCAGCTCAGATTTAAGTACATATTTAAATAGGCAAATGTATCATTTTGTATACGTACATATTATTATGCGTAGGTATTTATTATTATGTGCACGTATTGCATCTGCATGTGGAATTTTGTGGAATAATAACACACAGTTGTTATCATTGCATGGGGTATTCATTACGAGTTCGCAAGTGCCCATCGTAATATAGTTTGAAAAGTAACGAACTACATAATCATGCACCACCCTTTGAAAATGAATTTTCGATCCAGAATTTTTTGCAACTTTTGACTTTGTTTTTTTTCGTAACATTGCTTAAGATGCGAACGTGTAATGAATACTCCCATTATTTTTACATACTCCAGTTGAGCAAAAATTCATTTAATGCACATATTTAGTTTTAATTTGATTTTGAATTATAATTAAATATATTACAATTTTGTGCTCAGTTCGAAATACCTATAAATACTGTTTAAGATATTGTAGAAAATTTACATATTCCTGGTCCCTTAACTTGGTAAAGAGTAAAGTTTTCTCCGAATTTACAATTAGTGTAGCTTACATAATAACAAATTCAAAGTGCTTTAACTTTTCAAAAAGTTTACATTATTGTCAAGGGTGCACGTTCTGCCCTAAAGCAAAAGTGATGCCTGCTAGGGAACGCGAACGGCATGACGGTGGAAAGCAACTATAATCATTTATTTGGCAAACTCGAATTATTTAGAGGGGCTGTTAATTAGATGCTTATTTAACTTGGCATCATTATCTCCAGCTCCTCCCATTCTTGAATGCACCGATCCAAATATTCTTCGGGATGTTGATTATCACAAAAATATTTGCTCATTCCAATAACTTGCAGGTGCGTTGTCCCTGAATGTGATAAGAAAGCCATCCCACATTCAAAACCTGGTGAAGCAAATACTTAAATACGTTTTAACATTTTACAAGTAAATTACAATGAATTTTGCATTCATACGATCAGTCCCATCGTCTGGGGGATTACTTATTCCACAAATGCTAGAGATTGGCTTCCCCTCGCAATGAACTGTACTTAATGGTCCAATCAGGTTGGTAAAAAGTAGGGGTGTGCTAACTATAAACCGCCTGAGCAGTGGTACCGGCATTGACCCATAGACACGCGACCCCAAGAACAATGCCAGCGGAAGACCAGATCGCTTGAAACGTTGGATGCGAGACGCAATCACTTGAATTCTCTTCATGGAATCACTTTCTCCAATTGGAAGGAAGATACAGCAAAACGTTCTGTAATTAAATATTCAGAAGTAGCTTGTAAATTAATTAAATGTGCATTTTTCTAAATTAATAGGTACTGTGTAAGCATTTTTACAGGTGATTCTGCAATTTGTCTGGATGTCCAAGCATGGGAAGTATAAAGAACAACTTTATATTTTCTGGTGGCGGTCTTCCAGCTTTTTGATAAGATTGTCGAATAGAGGCGGTCATCCCGGCTAACAAGAGCGATTGGAGGTCAACGCCAAGATCATTTTTGAGTTGCTTCAAGGATTGGAGACTCGGACCGTTTCTCATTTCCAATTTCACATCGCATGATCCTCCTACGACTGCGCACGAATTAATCGCATTATTATCGTGTGGATGTGTATGTATGCATGGTTGGACAGGGTAGTTCAAAAGGGACTTCACATAGAATAGTTTTCCAACAATTGTAAATTACAATTATATTATTTACTTATAGTTCCAATGGGTATACTCACAACACACGTATTTACTTAAATATGCAAAATCACAACTCACTTAGCTAATTGCGAAGCTCGAAAAACTTATGTACATATGTATGTCCTGAGGGAATTGGGAATATAAAGATAATTTCCCAAATTTCGGAAATCTGCATAAATGGTTCTGTTACGTGTACTGATATAATATTTGATTTCAATGGATTATCTATTTGGAATTTCTAAAGAATTTAATAATGAGAATGAGCTTACGAAATAAATACATCCTAGTTACTGGCACATCGTTTTTAAATTTTCGAACAATAATCGGTGCAAAATTCCATCAAAATCGGTTCAGAATTGGCCGAGATATTGAATGATGTCACTTTTTTTGGGTGGGGTAAATGCATCAGGGTATTCCGACCTGGGTTTTAATGGGTTGGGTTTTATTGGGTTTTAATGGGTTTTAATGGGTTGTAAATGAATAAAACCCAGTGGGTTTTACCATGTTAAGTGGGTTTTATTTGGGTTTTAATGGGTTTTATTGGGTTTTAATTGAGTTTTACCTTAAAACTACATTCTAAAAGTTAAATACATCTCCTATACGTTAGAAGACGTTATCTCAATTCATTCTTAAGCAGTTTATTTTATTACTATTCTAATGTATGAAAATTCGGAACAAATCAATAATTGACTCCATCCTTTAGCATCACAGATTTCAAGTGTTATAAAACAAAAATAATTTCCGAATAGATACAAATTCCTAATTATTTTTGTTAAGTTATTACTTAAAACTAATAAAACCCAATAAAACCCATTTAAACCCAATAAAACCCAATAAAACCCATTAAAACCCAAAATAAAACCCAATTAACATGGTAAAACCCATTAAAACCCATGGGTTTTATAATTTTTGATTAAAACCCTGGGGTTTTCCGAACCCTGAAATGCATATTTCGTTTTTAGGTATTTGCCTCACTAAGGATTACTAAGGAATAGGCCTCCTCCGTTGCGAAATTTAAGTTACATTCAATGACTTTCGTATATAATTGAGGTGAATACACTCGATGAATTTATAAGTTAGTGACACATATCTACATAGAGTGAATGGAGTACCTGGAAAAGTTGGGAGGGTGTCCGGGTTCGCCAGAATGTTTAACATAAGATCCACCACTTCGAACGGCATTTTTAGGTAGAACTGCACGCTTGAGATAAATCGAGTCCACAATGTGGTACGTTCTCCATGAAATATTGGCCTAGGTACCTTTTCCAGAATATCATCCTCGTCAAACAATTTGGACCACAATTTGAACATGGACCATCCATCTGCCATCATGTGGTGATAACGGAAAAAAATCCAACTCTTATTATCCAGATTTTCCATATTTTTGAAACAAGACTTATCCACGATTATCATTTCCCACAGTGGTTTTCCTTCCACCCACAATCGGTCTCTGAGTATGTGCATGAACAGATTTTTGAAACCAGCTTCAGTACAAACATCGTCCCAGTTTTCTGCCACATCGGCATCTTAAAATAAAAAAATATTAAGGTCCCCATTATGTAATTAACAATTCTATAAAGTCTTCTGGCTAAAAAATATGGATCTTACATAGATACTTACTTACTTTTAATGTATTTTACGTGATCTTCGATATCAAAGTGTTGACACGGTTTCCAAAACAGGTAGCCCATCCATTGACGTACTCCAGATTTCAGTTCAGGGTAAAGTAGGTCATTCGAGCCGGGTAGTTTTGCGGATAACCACTTTTGCTCGACTTTGTTTCGCAGTACTTGCACATCAAGTGTGGGGCTTTCTAACTTCATGGCTACGATAGAGGTTACTGCCCCCCTTTTGTACAGGTTACCGCATTCTGTAGAGAAATAACGATGCAACATATGCAGATATTTTTGTGTTCCGTGCATAAATGTAAGAAGAGGGGTGAGAGATGTTCGCTGAAGAGCCAACACTTAACATTAAGAGTTAGATGGCAAGCTCATCTGCGCCACATGTTAAATGTGGGATATGTACATAAACTTGTGACGAAGAGGAGAGGACTAGTATAAAAATACCAACTTTCTCTGTACATCATTTGTGGACCACTCCATAAGATATTAAGTAATTAAGTACATATACCAATGGAAATAAATTTAGACCAGACGTCAACGCCGAGGAATTTTGCGGCGGCGATAACGCGCGTAAAATTCTGCTATGCAGCGTTGACCTCTGATTTAGATTATGATTTGATTAAACGATAAATAAATATCTACTTACCCATCATGGTGCCTTGTGCGGTTATCATTTTTCCGAGCTTTTGTCTTTGAAATAATTTCGCAGCGCATGAAATTACCCATCTCCAAATTAGAAGAGTAGTTATTATGGAAACACATCCAGCAAGAAATATTAATCCTGGTAAAAAGAAATTGTAAATAGAAATTGCAAAAATGAAAACTAATATTAATCGTAGCCAACTAATTGGAGGTGATAAATTGTAAAACATTTTATTTTTTTAGAAATATTTGTGTAGTCTTAAAATTTTTACTAGCACACAGAACGCACTAAATGCGTAATAAGCTATGGATGGTCATTTTAAAAAGTTCCCATATTTATGTAGTTTAATATCATGCGAATTAAAATGTTTGTTTGGCAAATTCTCACGGATGGTTAAAGTAGGATTCGCATTATTGGACATGAAGAAATAGACCACCGTGTGCGCCATCATTATACAAATTGGGTATAAAAAAATTTAACAAGCTAAAAAATCTAATTGATTCACATTGGTTTCCACAATATTTAACACCTAATTATTGGTAATTGCTTTTCACCATGACAATGCTGTCATGCGCACGACTTTTCAAATATAATGAAATAAACTAATAAGCCATAATCTCAAAATGTTGAAAACCTTTTTTTCATTTTACATCAAAATTTTTCCATGATGTACAAGGTCATTCGGTACGAGCTTGCTTCTCATGATCTTTAAAGAATTATACATAAAATAATACTTATAAATAGGTAGTTAGATTGCAAATCCCAAACACACATGTATTTAAATATGTTCATGTTTGTGCCGTTTGTTAGTTAAGAAAAGAGAACACTTAATTTTTCAAAAAATAAGTATATACACGTTTATGTATCTATACATATGTACAATTATTTGATTTGGTTTGTCTAACCATAATAAGTACATATTTCATGCATATTTCATTCCATTCCATTATTGCTAATCTAAGCTATCGAGTTTACTCGTTAGTTATCGTTAGGTAGATAGATTCGCCGTGGCGCCTTTGTACATATAAATGTATGCAGGTAGTTCGATTGTAAAATTCCACTATAAATTTGACATGTACCTTTATGGGTTTATGTAAATATGGTCGCAAAAAACAGCAATAAACAATCTAATCTAGTCTAAATACATATGTTTGTAGTTTAAATTCGTAACGTTATAGAAGAAAAAATATTCATGCTTGTCACACCAGGGTGCATAAACTTGTTTGTTGTCCGTTGTTTCTTCTAAGGGGGTTATGCCAGGATGAAAATTTTATTCAAAAATTAAAAGTTTGGGAATTACATGAATTCGAAGCGAACCCGCAGCGACTCCACGATTTCTCCACGAATTCGCTAGCGAATCGGCGGACATTTCGCTGCGAATTCGATACGGAATTCACAGCGAAATCTCAAATTGTTATCTGGGACCCATTATCATAATCAAATTGTTCATGCAATGCGATATGTACGTATGTATAATTATCACCAACTATTTACACAATTTCCGACGCAATTGATTTGTTTAACTTTGCATTAATTATTTCCAGCTCCTCCCATTCTTGAATGCACCGATCCAAATATTCTTCGGGGTGTTGATTATCATAAAAATATTTGTGCAATCCAACAACTTGCAGATTGGTTGTCCCGGAATGTGAAAAGAAAACCATCCCACATTCAAAACCTGGAACAAATATTACAACTTTACCCTCAACTCAACAAGCATGCAAATAAGTTACATTTGGGGAATTCATAACGAGTTCGCATCGTTAGCAGCATCATTATAAAATAAAGCTTGCAAAAAGTCTAAGCTTGAAATTTGCGACCTTATGCATCTCATCTCCAAGCCTAGTATTTAGTTTAATGTTTTTTTTTCAGAATTATGTTGCGATCCGAACATGCCAACTCGTAATGAATACCCCCATTGAATTTTGCATTCATACGATCATTCCCATCGGCTGGGGGATTAATTGAGACACGAATACATGGGACGGGTTTCCCCTCATAGCGCATTGTACCAGGATGTCCAACTACGTTGGAAAAAAGAAGGGGAATCCTTGTTATGAAACGGCGGAGCAATGGTGCCGGCATTAATCCATAGACACGCGACGCCAAGAAAAATGCCAGCGGAAGACCGGATCGCTTGAAACGTTGAATTCGAGATGCTATCAGTTTAATTCTCTTCAATGAATCGCTTTCTCCAATTGGGAGGAAAATACAGCAACTCGTTCTGTAATTAAATATTTCTGTATGAGAAACTTGCAAATTAATTAAATTCGTACTTTCCTAAATTAGTTGGGATGTACAGTGTGGTTTAAACGACTCGTTACAATGGAAAGTTTTTAACTGGAAAAAATTTGTAAATTTCCATTAAATAGTTACAGAAGATTTGCCTGTGACATTTGACATTTTAAGAACTTTGTCATTATGTTCCACCAGTTTTGATATTATGTGGAGTGAAATAATTAATAAAATTTGAATTCTAAATCCTAGTGGGAGAGGTACATATAGGCTTTTCCCTTTGTACAATTTTCAATTTTAGCGAGACAGTTAAACTAAATAAGCAATTGTGTAAGCATTCTTACATACACATAATTCCTTAATTTTTCTGGATGCCCAGGCGTGGGGAGTGCAAAGAGCAATCGTATATTTTCTGGTGGCGGTTTGCCAGCTTTTTCATAACACTGTCGAATTGAGGCGGTCATTCCGGCCAACAAGAGCGATATAAGGTCAACGCCAAGATCATTTTTGAGCTGCTTCAAGAATTGGAGACTCGGACCGTTTCTCATTTCCAACTTTATATCGGATGATCCTACGACTGCAAATGAATTAAGCGCATGATTATCGTATGCATGTACAAGGTTGAAGGTGGCTCAAAAAAGACTAATTTTGGCTAATTTTTTTAGAGGCAATCGCAAAATATGATTTCGCAAATTTCGCAAATCTGTATAAACAGCTACATATGTGTGTTATACTATTTTAATTTGGTTTCCATAGATTATTTTAAATTTCTAGAGCATTTAATAGAGATGATAATTTTGTGAAATGAAAACATGCCCAGTTGCTGGGTAAATTTAGAAATTTTTTTTTTGCCAAATCTCGAAAATTTGCTAAAATTTCATAACTTATGTTGCCATAATTATTATTATGCTGTTTGCGAGATATGCGAAGATTGACGTGAGTACGCGAATTGGAATTGTTGGAGAAATTTTCACGTGTAAAGTCATTTTTGAATCGGGGCTTGATCTCAATCACACCTTGTAAACTGCGTAAACTTCGTAACCAGTTAATCTTTCGAGTATTTCTAAAAAAAATTATTGTCTTATGAACTTGTCAAGACTGATAAAAGACATGTTTTTGCTCCTACAATATTTGTAAGACATGGTCAACTAATGATCAACACATTTTGAGTCTATATATTGCCGCTCGCGTGAATATCCTCATTAAATTTATAACAGTTTCTATTACATTTAATTTCACAAAGAATTAATTGAATACCTGAAAAAGTTGGGAGGGTGTCCCGGTTCGCCAGAATGTCTATGATAAGATCCACCAGTTCAAATGGCACTTTAAGGACGAACTGAACTTGTGCGATAAAACGAGTCCATAATGTACCATTTTCTCTTTCAAATATTGCTCTAGGTACCTTTTCCAGAATATCATCCTCATCATCAAACAATTTAGAAAGCAATTTGAATATGGACCATCCATCTGATAGGATGTGATGGTCACGAAAAAAAATCCAACTCGCGTTATCAAAATTTACAGCATTTTTGAAACAAGATTCGTCCACGACTATAATTTCCCACAATGGTTTTCCTTCCACCCACAATCGATCTCTGAGGAGGTGCATGACCAGATTCTTGAAACCAGCTTCAGTACAGACATCGTCCCAGTTTGATGTCACGTCGGCATCTTAAAATAGAACATATTAAGGTCTGCATTATGTAAGTACTATTCCATAAGGGTTCCTGAGTAAAAAATACGGATCTTTGATATTTACTTGTAATGTATTTTATGCGATCTTTGATATCAAAATGTTGACACGGTTCCCAAAACAAGTAGCCCATCCATTGACGTACTCCAGATTTCAGTTCAGGGTAAAGTGGGTCATTCGAGCCGGGTAGTTTGGCGGATAACCACTTTTGCTCGACTTTGTTTCGCAGCACTTGCACATCAATTGTGGAACTTTCTACCTTCATGGCTACCACATTAGTTACCGCATCTCTAGTGTACAGGTGACCGCATTCTGTTGAATTATAGAGATGTAACGTACATATTTTCATATGTTTTGGGGGTTTTTCAGAAATAGAAGAGGGGTGAGAGAAGTCAGATGAATGCTAATTTGCGCCACTTGTTAAACATGAAGTATATGTATGTATAAGATATTACATATTTGTGAATAAATTTAGATCAAAGCTGCCAATTTTGGCGGCGGCGGCAGGTAAAATTCCACGGGGTGTCGTTGACCTCTGATTTTTATGATTTGTATAAGGGATAAAGAAATACCTATCGTGTTGCCTTGTGCGGTTACCATTTTTCCGAGTTGTTGTCCTCGAAATAATTTCGCAGCACGTGAAATTATCCATCTCCAAATCAAAAGACATGTTATTATCGGTACACATCCAACAAGAAATATTAATCTCAGGAGAATTGTAAAAGCAAAAACTAATGTAAATCGGAGCCAACTATTTGGATGTAATAAATTGTAACACATTTTATTTTTAGAAATATTTGTGTAGTCTTAAAATTTTTGCCGTATTTTTGCCGTCACAGAGTAACAATGGAATATGTTCCGATTATCTATTGCATATTATGTACCAAATGCTTAACAAGCTATGCATGATCATTTTCAAAAGTTCGCTTTATTTAAATTAATATGCAATGCGTATAAAATTGTTTGTTTGGAAAATTCCCACGGAGGGATAATGTAGGATTCTCATCACTCAACAGCACCATATCAGAAAATAGACCACCTTGTCTTATTATGGAAATTGGACGTAAAAAATATAACAATTTATTAAAACTGGTTTCCAGTTTTGCACCAACATTTGAGCATTTTGTATCAGAAGCACACATGCATGTACATACTTAAATATCAACATGTGCAGTTTGTATATGAAGTAAATAGAACACTTACGTACATATTTAAGTTTTCAAGAAATTTATGCACGGTTATATGTGTATGTATTTTAAGTAGTTTGACCACATATCTCATTCACATTTCATCCCATTCCTGTTAAACTATCGAATTTTCTTTCACCATTCCGTCAGATGTGGCGTGCCTACAATAAATTAACCAATAAATTGAATATTGTTAAAATTCTTAACATTGCACAAAATGCAAGTTATTCATGGTTGCAATACCCATTATCGTGCTCAATATTGCACGAGATTGGACTGCACTCTTCATTTGTACGTCTTGACTGCCTGGTCTGAAAGGTAATTCCATCTCCCACACTGGACGATACGGGGAAGGCCCACTTTCTTCTATCACGCCCAAAAACTTGAGCCAAATTGTTACAGATTCCAAGATAAAATCCTTTCTTGTCTGGACCATGGGGAAATATTGGAGGGTGGAGAAGCTCGAAGGTGGTTCGGTTCATGGGAACGAGGTATAAATGCACGGCAAATAAGGGTATCACCAGAATCTAAAATTTCATAAAATATGATACAATTTTTGAAATGTATATAGGTTCTTATTTACAATGGCTGCGGAAGGGTGGAGACAGAGGACAGTATCGCCATTGTTGTTCGATGTCCCCATCATTTGCCCGTGTTATATGTATAAACCCCTTCCCCCATATCCTCCTATGCTAATGGCCCCACATATCCCCACGGCTTCCGCGGCCACTGTTTATTTAGTGCTTGACACATAGGTTTCTAACCAGCCATCCTGCAACGACAAAGAAAGCAGCAATTATATTGTATTGGCTGACAGTGTGGATATCTTCGTTCCACGCCTGAATGCAGTACGGTAACAATAAAAATGTGAGTTGGAAACAGTACGTGAAAGCATAGTTGACAAACAGAACGAAAAATTTGTAATTGTCAAAGGCTATGCAGTTGTTCACCCAGGCTAGAAAATTAAGAATTATAGAATTAAGTATATATTTCGTATCATATTTTAAAAATCCATTTATACATTCTTACGACAGTGATGATCACTTTTTAGAAAACAACGCCCACAAAAGTTGCAATGATGGCATCGATCGGGTTTAATAATCCAACATATTTGGCAGAAACGGATCTGATTTTTAATTGACCTTGTTTCTAATGTCAATTCCTTAATGCATAAAATTCAGTTATCTCGTTGTTTTTGATGAATTCCATATTTTTTAAATCTTTTACCCGACTATGGGTAAAATTGGTTAGAATCTCTGAAATCTCTGTTTCATTCTGTGTAGACTTGATTTTTTGTACTATGTCTATTCGTATAAAACAAAGTTATCAGATCAAAATGGGGCACGTACTGTAGTTTTTGGGGTTCTACATATGTAAAAATTGGCTGATTTGATTTGCTAACCTGGAGGAATTTTGAATTGACGAGGAACAGGTTTGCAGGAAGTTATCATAGTTTTAAAGTATGACCAGAAGAAGAAAATAAATGACAAGTGGTACATGACAAGTGTAAAAATCTGTAATAATTAAACATATTAATTAGCATAAAAAATCGGAAATAGTAATATGTACGAGTACATATATGTAAATCTGGACAGTGATTTTGGTTCAAAGTATATACCTTTCCCCACAAGTTGTCCATTTGAAGTAAACAAATGAGAACGACAAAGACATAGTAGCCCCACAACATCACCACGATAATTGCTATGGCTGGAATCCATTTTAACATACGGAAGAAGGGAGTCCCCCAAATTCCGTTGTTTATCTCCTCCCCCATTGTTTCTAGTGGCATATGAAGCACTTGTGCACGTAGATACGGATAAAATTACTTGTAACTTGTGATAATTGATTGGTTGAAATAATTCGGGACGATTTTATTCATTTGGGTATAGAACTGTCTTCACAGACAATGGGTTTATTTGTTACTTGTAGAACGGATGCAATTGCATAAGTACATTAGGATAATATGCAAATATCCTAAATAATTTTTATATGCAATTTTTATTTGCAGTTATTAAAAATTTAAATTTAGCCACCTTTCAAACTCACGTAACTTCACGTTGAAAAAATAATCTTTACGTGTTAAACTCATCCTCAGAACGGAAACAGTCCATCGTCTGTAGTTGTTTAGTCTAGCGAAACTGTAGCATTATTTTCATACACAAAATTGTATATAGGTATATGCAATATGCAAGTATTATATGTAAGTGTCCGAATTGTATACAGAATTTGCTAATGCCATATAGGTTTAAAAACCGGTTTGATTTCCTTATTGTCGGTGAATGAAGTTTGTATATTTTCACGTAATGAGAGGAATACTTGAACAATTAAGCCATGCTTATGGCTGTAAACAAGGAGAAGTATATCTGGTAATTTTATTGTTCTTGTTCCTAAATTTCAGAAAGTAGATTACATACATCTGTATATACAGGATATATGTATGCATGTTTATATATATGCATTTATTATGCAAATACATACTTATTTGCATATCCATTGTTTTCGCATGTTTTAGTTAACACATGACAAAAATGCTGATGACAGCAGGGTCACTATGATAACACTAGTTAATTAATTTTTTTGCGTCACAGTTTTGTACTCATGATCTGAAAAAGTCTCAATTAATTAATTACAGAGATTATAAATATGTCTTCCTATTTATGTTTATCTTTTCTCTTGCAAATGTCTTGCACTTAACTCTACGTATATATTCATCTTCATTTTACTAAATAGCTTAGAAAAGTTGCCGTGCATTCCTCAACTAATAAACAGCGTTTTAGTTTTTTTGAATTCTTTGGCATGATTATCCGCTTAATAAAATTATATGCATCTATTTCAAAATTAAGTAGAAGAACATTTCAAAGAACTTCTGGCTGGAAAGTTCTATTTTTTTAGGATTTTTTATATGAAAAATGTCAGTACCAATGTACATACAGTGGAATTATGTATTTGTGCGTATCACCTCATTTGTATAAATCTCACCTTGTCCATTTTTGGTGATATGGGTTTTACATGTATTTTGGGAATGCGTAATAATATGCAAATAAGGTGACTAGCGCAAATAATTCACTCTATGTTCTGATATGAATGTGAAATGAAGTGTTACAATTCCCCAAATTTTGATTGAGCAAAAAAAGATTGACATAAAATATATTTCTCCAGTTTAATTAAGCATTTCTAGGACAGGATACGTCCAGGTCCAAACGTCATGCAACGATTATTCCAATAATTATTTCTTGTTTTGAAACCAGGAAATATTGAAATCACATCACACCCTTCAACAAGTCTTTCGTATTACGAACAAAATTTTGATTTATAATGAGCTCACCATACGCTCCAAGAAACAGGATAATTGGCAGACATCTCTGCAGGAATCACCCTTCAAAGAAATAATACGTACATAAATACCAAGTTATAATAATACCTAAGTTCAAATTATAATTATAATAAAGACACAGTTTGAATATTCTTGAAGCAATTACCTTCATCAAATTCCTTGATACTATTTTATTCATGAGGTTGCAACACCTGCGGAATTATGAAGTAAATAAACATAAATCAGGTAATTGCTGTTATTTGAAGAACGCACGCCATACTTAATTAGTGACGTTGTCACGAATAAATTGGGCCATGTTGAAGATTCAGATCTCATTTTATACCATATTTAAGTAGACATATTTCCCACGTAATAGGCACAATTTATTGACCATGCCACAATGTTGGGTCCGTACCTACCCTTCCTCAAGTTGGACTTGAGAGTTTGTAAATTCGTGAAATGTCTCCCCTTCGAATTTGACAAAAATTTGGGACATCTCGTGACAACGGGGAAAGTCTGGAATTTGAGAATTTTCAAGTTGGAATGCATACTCACGGTGGTTTATGCGGCTGCCTTAATTGCCAATGTGTGCTTGGGGAATTTGACGATGACGGGAAAAATGCAGGGGGCAGCGTTCCTGCCAATCTACATCTTCGCCGTGGTAACGAGATGGAACTATTCGTTAGAAGTTGGTCCAATTCAAGTAATCAATTCCATGGTGCAGTTTGAAAACAAGGTTTTACGAGGTGAGTAAATTTTTGAAATTTGTGACTTAATTTTCAAAAATTGTTTTATCAGCGTTTCGTAAAAATGCGAGAAATGTCTATGTATTTTTTTTATATGAATGAAGTAATCGTGTCAAATTACTCCAAGATAAGGCTATTAAATAAAGCTTCCTTTAATAATGCAGCGTGGGAAAGCCTTTCAAATCCTCAAGACTTTTTAAATTTCCTTAAATTTCCTTAAGTTTTTAAATTTAATTTTTTGCTTAGATATATATTTACGAAATATTCAAATTTGCATGTATTAATTTTTACTCATTAACAGCCCTTCCGGCTCCACCTGAAACCATGTTGGCGAAGCTGATGCGAATTTTCATCCCGTTATCAAACGTGTCCATCATGGGGTTGGTACTTCTAAAATTTGTGCTGCTAACTTTCGCCCCTTGCACGCCGCCCTTCATCCTGTCGATGCTATCCGACTGTAAAGTGTTGAAGGGGCAGTTTGAATTCTGGGAACTATTGGGACTCCATTTATTCGAATCTTGGATGTTGTGGCAGATGATTTTCGCGGGTTCGTGGCTATGCTTGTACATTATCTTTGTGGGGATCGATTGCTTTCTGAGTTACCTGCGCGTTTTGGAGAGGTGAGTAATTAATTAGTAATGGAATGTTGGTAATGTCGTAGCAATTTGTTATCTAATGATCCTATCGATTTGGTAACAGTTTAAACGCCAGTTAGATTGTAATTCACTTTGCAACGCTTAGGGCAAAACTGCACTCTGACAATCTGTTATCACGTGGTGATAGACTAAACCCGGGTTTGCAACAAATTATTACGTAGCAAATTTGTGTAATAACACTTAGCGAATTACCTAATTGATGCACCAATCGATTACACTTACGATGAAATCATGCCCTAAAGTTACAACCAGTTCATTCATGCAAATTTGTAATTTGTATACGTAAATGCTTAGGCATCAGATTTACATATTTCATAATTGCAGGCAGATTGGCCGAATTTCACCCAGAAGTGAAATAGAAGCCGACATCGGACTCTACCGCATGATTCAAATTTTGGAAAAGCAATACAACGCGCTTCTCATGCATCGAACCGTGCCCGCCTTGCTAATCTGCTGTCCCGGCCTTCAAACGATTGTCCAATATGTTTGCATAAGTCATCACGAGGACATCGCGATGCCAGGATTCCTAGCGTTCCCATTGATGGGGTTGAACGCCATAATTGTGAATATATTGTGATCTTCACGTTGGCGTCCTTGGTCAACTCGGCGTCGGAAAATGTAATGGTCGAGTTACGAGAAAAGGCGATAAGTTTGCAGAACAGGGGTTTAATTAAGAGAAAACTGCGTACCTGCACCGTGCTGAAGGTCAGGTTTGGGTCGAAGTTCATCGATCGTGGAACCCCACTGATCATTCAGACATTCTGCTTAAACCAGACGGTGTCACTAATTCTAATTTCATCCGGATAGAGGAGTGGTTAATTTGGTGGTAATTAATAATTAATTTGGCAGGTTATACGTACTTGGATAGTACTAAATTAATATTGTATGTGTTATATACTTCTTATAGGTATGGATTGTGTGAATGTATATTTATATGTGACAAATTTAGACTGTATTTGGGGGAGTTGCATTAAAATATGTACAAATAAATACATAATAAATACATGTGTAGCTTCATGTCAAGTAACTTTGTTCACGGTTAAGGTGGAATAACTCCGTCATAGATTTTTAGTCTCACTTTACCTCTGCAATTGCAATATCACTTAATGAAAATTTCTACAATGGAATCAATTTCAAGAGTTTTGAGATAAATTCAACTTTCGATACTTTAATGCAACGTTAATTTTTGGTACTTTAAAATTTTCGAATTGAAAAACTTAGCGAATTCTTTTTTGATGGCAAATGGATTAGAATATTTTTTCAAATTAGTAGTTTTGTTTCGTAATAAAAATTAACTCTCCACTAAAGTATCAAAAGTTGTATTTATCTGAACACTCATGAAAGTTATGCCATTTTAGAAATTGAATAGGGGTTGAGTGAGATTAAAAATCTATGTCGCATTAAATCGTCATCACATGTAACCTTAATCCTCCCGGACTATATTAAAAACATGGATTGTACTGTAAAAAGTGCTGCATTTCCATATGTAAAACGAAAACATACAGAAATTTCTGTAGGAATTTGTATTTCCATGTCTCGTTGTTTATTAAGCAGGGCTTTAAACCTTCCAAGTATTTCTCACTGTTACAAGATTCTACTCGGAATAGAATTAGACGTAATTTCTAATTAGACTACGGAATTAGACGTAATTTCTTAATTTAGCTTATTTGACAATCCCCAGCATTAAATTTGATGAAGCAAACTCATAAATAATTCGTTTCATGATTATGTAGCCAAGTAATTTTGGGAGAGTGTTGGAATATTATTACTTGTATGATAAGTCCATCAACTCACCGATAATGCTGTGTATCAACGTATGTACGTCAATAAGGAAATCAAATGACCTCGCCAATACCTACTGCACTCTAAAAAATCCGGTGAATTTGCTAGTCTAGAGACAAAGACCGTCACCGTGCCACAATAAAACCATCGGCATTCGGGAGGTACATTAGTCTTTACCGCGCTGTAATAAACTATCACCGGTGAAGTGATAGTCTCTACCTAAGGTCGATGCCGCCGATCGTACGCTGGCGCGCCGCCGAAACACCATCAAAATTGGCGCAGCCGCCGCCGAATATTGGTCTCCACCAGTATTTCTTAGAGTGTACATACATTCTACCTAAGTATATTTAGGAAGTAATGTTTCTCACTAATTATGTATGTCCCTATCATGATTTAGTAGAACATAGTCGAGCTATGTTCTCCATAATTGTGCTATACCTTGAAAGATGATCCCATTCTTAGATTGGCCTGCTAAATATGTGTCCTCCACAGGTCACCTCAAAGTTAGAGTTCGTAGTCGCCAAAATGTATAGCACGCATTACCTCAAGGTTCTTAAGCGCCACTTGGACGTTTGCAAATTTTTGAAGTGCATCCCTTTCGAATTTGACGAAACGTTGGGACGAATCATAAAAACGAGGAGTTTGAAACATATCAGAATTTTTAGGTTGGAATGTATTTTGTCCTTAATTTACACGGTGGCAGTATTCCTCAACATCTCCGTTGGTCATTTAACGTTGACTGGGAAATGTAAAGGGTTGGCATTTTTCCCGCTGTATATCTTCGGCGTGGTCACGCGATGGAATTACTCGCTGGATTTGGGTTCAATGCAGGTCATAAATTCCATGTTAGAGTTCGAAATGAAAGTCTTGAGCGGTGAGAAATCAAAATTTCGGGAAAAATGGGGGTACTCATTATGAATTCGGATAATAAATTTTGAAACCCAAATTGTAAACGAAAGGGTTACCTTGGAGAGGCGCAAGTTCGCAAATGAATTTTAACGCCAAAACTGTTTTGCGGACTTGCGAGTTTTATTTTTTGTGAATTTTTTTGCTGACGATGTTAACAATGTGAACTCTTAATGAATACCTCCATTATAATACTGAAGCTTTTACCAAATTTCAAAGAAAAGTTGTACCTATAGATTAATTTTTTTCAAGTTTTAAATTAAAATTGTTTTAAAATTGTATCAATTCCCAGCACTTCCAGACGCGCCAGTCAGCATGATATCGAAACTGATGCGGATTTTCATCCCTTTCTCGAACGCTTCATTGATGGGGTTGGTCGTGTTGAAGTTCGTGCTGCTGACAATTTCGCCCTGCACGCCGCCATTCATCATGTCGATGATGCAGGACTGTCGTCAGGCGAGTGGAGGAATTGCATTTTTTGGGAAGATGGGATTGCACGCTTTTGAGGCTTGGATGTTGTGGCAGATGATCTTCGCCGGATCGTGGTTGGTTCTCTACGTGATTTTTGTGGGGATTGATTGCTTCCTAAACTACTTGGGCGTCATTGAAAGGTAATTTTGGGTAAGTGAGAGTTTTCACGATCTTCGTACCTGTGAATTAGTAAAAAAAATTCGTAAATTTACAAAGGGTTGGCGTGAAAGACCTTCGTAAATAATACTTCTGTAAAGGTTTTCAAAAATTTGCCATTTGTATTTACTCATTCGCATGGTCAACTACGGTGCTCGAAATAAGCATGAAATTTTTGTAAATGCCGTAATTTACGATATTTATGACGTTTATGTACCAGTTATGAAGGTAACGTGAAAACCCTCACTGATTGGTGCAGGTCAGAAAGTCAGGGGTAGGAAATAACGCTCGATTCAACTGACTTGATGGTTTAATATGTTTCTCAGGCAAATTGTACAAGTCAGCAAACCTGTCGCAAGTCGCGTCAATATTCACTTGTATCGAATACTGCAAATTTTGGAAAAGAATTTCAACGCCCTAACAATGAACTGGGCCCTTCCCGCTCTGGTCATTTGCGCTCCCGGGCTTCAAACAATTGTCCAATATGTCTGCATCAGCCATCACGACGACATTGCGATGCCAGGATTCCTGGCCTTCCCGTTGATGGGGTTGAACGCGCTGATCGTAAATATCCTAATCTTCACGTTGGCCTCGCTGGTGTATTCTTCGTCGGAAAATGTGCTGACCAAGATGAAAGAAAAATCGACCAAGTTGCGGAACAGGGCTCTGGTTAAGAGACAACTGCGTACCTGCACCGTGCTGAAGGTCAGGTTTGGGTCAAAATTCATTGACCGTGGAACCCCACTGATTGTTCAGACGTTCTGCTTAAATCAGACAGTGTCCATTATTCTGATTGTGTCGGGGAAATAAGAGGCGTAGTAGATTTAGATAAATGCATGGGTTAATTGCAATTAGTTAATTAGATACGTGGAATTGTATCAGCTTAGATATCGTTAATGCAGATGTAAAAGTGTGTACTTACAATGTGGTAACAAATTTTCACCTACATACGAGGGTACCACAGAAAGTATCCGTTCTGACCTTGAAGGAGGGTCATTTTGCCCTACTTTTTCTGTTGGCGTAATAGATAAACTTATATGTATCTCAGATCTCATAGCTTAAAAATTCACGATCACTGCCGAGTCGAGGAGATCGTCTGATGTGATCAAAAACCGCGAAACAGGCAAAACCGATAAAATTTAGCCAAGGTTTGTTACGTAGATTTTGACCTTCAAGACATAAACGTGTACTTCTTTTTGCATTTACTCACTGGGAAATGAACCTTAGTTCATTTTCATGGCACTGGTAGTAAGAAAAGAAGCAAATATTGGAAGCATCCACTCACAAAGGAGTAATAGTGATGCTGAAATTGCTATTTTGGTAATCACTACGGTTTTTGAGACTCAGAAGGACTTCTGGTACTGGACGTTGCGGCTCCGAAAACAGTGCGTATTCCACCACAATTTTGAATTTTTAACCCAAGCCATTGTAGAGAAAATACGAGAACAAAAATCGCGTTGCTCACGAAAACGCTGACGACGAATTTTCAATAAAAAATCCAAACTTTCGAAGCGTGCCATTTTAAGCCAAAAAATGTCAAAATTATTTCATCCCGCTTACAGTCCACACCTGGCCTCTGGTAACTCCTGTGTATTTCGACATTTAAAAAAACCTTCAGGGGGAGGAGATTTCGACGATACATGAGGTGAAATCAGGGGTTTTGACTTTTTTTCGAAAATTAGTCATAAAACCGGGATGAAGTATTTTAAATTTAACGGACCAAGAGTGTTGGCCTCGTAGGGGACTACTCTCAAAAATTGTAGGGCAAGTACCCCAAATTTATTGCAGGAACATGGTCAGAACGGATACTTTCTGAGGTCCCCTCGTACATATCTACCACCCATTCTTTTGTGCATAGTATGGAGATATAGAGATGCTACACGGGACTACAAACTTGACAACGATTTGATCCTGAGAAGTAAAATAATTGTTAGTACTAATTACTAATTAATTAATTGTACTAATTAATCATTCTGTAGTGAAAAATGATTTAAGCGTGACATTTTTGCTTAGTGTCTGTACAGTTGAATTATATCGTTTGAAAATGTATATGTACTACTTATGCAGATTATAGATACACCTGGAAAGAAACTAGTATAAAATTTAGTCCCAAATTCGTCTCGTAACTAAATATGTAAACTTCTGCGACACATCAGACACATGACATAAGTCCACATGTCCAGAAATGAGAATATACAATATTTACAATGTATGTACTACGTAAGTAGTATTTAATTTTGTCGTGTTTTCTTTAATTAAGTTCGATACGTATGTATGTAGCTCCAGAATTACATTCATACATACTTCCATAGATATTAAACTCAACCTCCCATTACAACATTAAAGCACAACTATCCCCATGTTGACTTGTTCACCTTCGGCGTAAGTAATTTAAAATATTGATGTGTTAATCTGTAGTCAGTACATTTGAATTAGGAATTATATAGGTCAATTCAAGTTCCAAAACTTAATTAGATAGATATCTTTTACATTGAGCATACAAAACTTAACCAGGTTCCACCAGCAAATTTCTTAGTCAAGTTGTAGTCATTACATTCCGATTAATCTGGCCATCTTTAACGGTCAAATTAGTCTTGCCATGCCGAAATCTGTATCACTTAAATTAAACAAATAAATATGTAAATTATACAAACATGCATTCATCCCTACCTTCGCTGCTTTCTTATACACATTCTTTGACAATTAAATGGTAGCATAATGTCGGTTGAAAACGTTCCACTTGATAATCAAAGCACAAGCCTTAGGATTAGTAATTACTAACATATTAGTATAAATGCATAAGTACATGTGAACGTATATTCCACGTTAGAATTGACGTGTGGCAATTGTAGCAACAATTGTATGTGCACACATATCTCGAACCGCAAAGAAAAATACGTACTGGGGGGCGTACGTAAGTCGATAGGTGGAAAGCATACATTTGTATGCTTTCCCCCTAGCGAGTCTTTAATCGATTGCATTTATTCAGAATTTACACTTAGAATCGGATAAAACCTAATAAAGTTAAAGATAAAGTAGCTTGTAGTTACGCAAGCTACCATTCATTTCAGACTCTCCATCCACCCAAAAGAGCTTTGGATCAGGCAAGTCTGACGTCGAAAAAAGGCGTCCAGGCACGACGTCCAAAAATTATGTTAGCCGAGAAGCCGAATTATCCTATTATTTAACACCAGTTTATTTTATTTTGGCGTTCAAATTATTCAATTCGTGTCAAGAATTTAGGTAATTGAATGACTTCTACGCCTAAATAAAATAAACTGGTATTAAATAATAGGATAATTCGGCTACTCGGCTAACATAATTTTTGGACGTCGTGCCTGGACGCCTTTTTTCGACGTCGGACTTGCTTGATCCAAAGCTCTTTTGGGTGGATGGAGAGTCTGAAATGAATAGTACATATTACTAAAATTTGTATGGGATACGTACAAAGTAGTATTTAGTACCTGAACGAACGCAATTTTTATAAACAATTAAAGGAAACAGCACATGTGAACAACATTGATACACGTCAAAAACCAACAATGTGATGCGCACCCATACCCATGTACGTACAAAAAAACATCCACCACTATCTGTAAATTGCATCTTTATTCTTGCATCAATTCGCTGTATAAATATTAATTTACGTCCGGCAGTTCGAATGCCACGGCCACGCCAAGTGTGCTCAAAAACCTAAGGATACCCATTTAATTTCAATTGAGTACCTGAATTTGAATTAAATGAGATCCCATGGAGAAGCCATTAGAAAAATTAACCACCTCAGGTACACACCATTTGAACAAATATGGATTACATATGTACGTCCCATGACAAACATTAGGTATACAATTTTCCTCCAAAAATTCAAAGCCCCTACATTTTTATCAGACTTTGAATGAAATACGCCGTCCTGTCGACAAATGCAACCACACGAATTTGCACCTGCATTTGCACATCCTTTGTCCACCCGCGAGCTATATTGTCCTTTTTATTATTTCACTCCATCCACATTTTCCAGCATCCGTTGTAGCCTTGATATAAAAGCGATATCTCCGATACTTGGAAATCAGTTCAATTCCCATTAAAATTTCGTAACATGACTCGACTCTCGCTAATTGGAGGCATCCTCCTCCTCCCAGTGGCCTTCTCCTACGTCCCCACCACCAACTTTTTCCCGTATGGAGCCACCCGCGACGCACAAGTTCCCGTCGCCGACGACAACTTTGTCCAATTCGATATTTCAGGGGGCAGCCGGTACAACTTTTTTAGCACGCCGTACACTCGCCTCTTTGTGAATAATAATGGAGGAATTTCTTTTAACTCGGGTAACATTTTATTTTTATGCGTATAAATTTCAGGAAATATAAATTTTCCAAATTTCCAAATTATCTAGGAGTCTCTTCCTACACCCCAAACTGTGGACCTCTCACAGTCCCCATGATCGTGCCGTATTGGGCTGACGTGGACACTCGTTATTATGGAGGATCCGTCTTCTACCGCGAATCTCGTGACCCTGCAGACCTTGCCAAAGCGAAGGTCGAAGTCCAACGCGCCTTCCCGGGTCTTACAAATCTCGCGCTAAGCTGGATGTTCATCGCTACGTGGGAAAATGTGCCATTTTTCGGTGCAAGCACAGGCAACTGCTCCTCCCCCAATATTAAAAACACCTTCCAAACCATCCTCGTCACGGATGGGAGTATGTCGTTCGCCATGTTTTTCTACAACAAACTCCAGTGGACGACGGGGACCGCGTCGGGCGGAAATTGTCAAGGGCTAGGCGGTGTTCCAGCCAAGGCAGGGTTTGACACGGGTGATGGCACAAACTTCTACTCCCTCCCGGGATCCTGCTCTCCAACCGTGACCGGAAGCACGGAGACCAGCAATGTAAACTCACAGGGAAAATGGATCTTCAGAGTTGACCAGGCCAACATTGTCGCCCCGGTGACGACGACGACGACGACTAGTCGACCCACGAGCTCGTCCTCGACGATGCGATCAACTAACAATACCACGAACGGGACCCAGTGTGATGCATCATCCTGCGTTCGAGTCGGGCATTGTCACTCGTACTCTTTCTGCAACCACGTGACGAGACGATGGGATTATAAGGAGTGTTCAGATGGGCTTTTTTGGAATCCGTATTCCGGTTATGTTTTATCAGGTGGGAGTGGAAATTGGTTTGGGAATGGAACCATGTCACGAAGCAATGGGTCCTCACCCGTTCAATGTACGGGAAGTTGCGACTTGTGGAATAACCTGTCTCGGGAGACCCAAAATCTGTATCGGTCGGACACCACGTGCTTTCCTGAATGTTACTTTGAACCGCTGGGGGCCTGCTCAAGTTCGTACAGGTATCATCCTCAAGGGACTGACAGAAGGGGTGTGAAAATTGTGCAATGCCCGTACGACTCGCGACCGGAGGGACGATTCAGACAGTTGGTTTGGGTTCAGGAGAAGGAATCGTGCGATTTCTGCTATAATGCGAGGTCATCTTTTAGCGGAAATGGGACGCAATATTGTTGTTCCAATTATTCTGGTGGGAATGGAACGAATCCGATTGGAAATGGGACAGTGGGTGGCTTCAATCCGACATGGGTGCCTGCACCGGTCACCACGTTCCGAACTACGACAGCAGGCATACCCGCAGCAGGTTAATAACAGAACAGTGTATAATATTGGCTTGAATCAACAATGGATATAAATATAAAACATAATTTGCAAAGATATTAAATTGAATCAGTTGTGCATGTGTATCTACTCATTGGAAATAAAATTTGTGCATATCAAGATTTTTTGGTGTAAATACATATATGTATTTAAGTATCATTTTTTTTACTGACTAATCTAACAATAAGTGACTTCCGTCAACAAGCTAAATGTTAGCTCAATGAAGCGAAAACGCGCTTTTCCTTTGCGCTTATAAACAATTAGCGACGAAATGCATGTACATAAGTTTGTTAGAATCGTGTAATCTATTTTTCACAGTCGGATCGAATTTACAGATGTAACACCTACTGCAAAATTGTTCTAAGAGATTTACAACATCGTCATTCGTCACTACAATGCATCGCTAGTTCATACTATGAACTTCACAGTTTTATTTAACCTTAACCGTAGGCGTAAGATGCATGCATGTATCCATATTTATATATTTGTCTCATCATTTTTAGGACTACGTAGCAATTTGTAGATGTCTAGGTATGCATATGTATCTGTAAATACGATACACATTTATGTACATGCAAACACATACATTTGGAGGAATTACGTTATATTTAGAGGTAAGCAGTATAAACAATGTTGGCAAAAATAATTGACAATTAATTCAACAGATGGTCAATGAACGCAATAATAGATACGTTTATCACATCGTGGTGCAGCATTATCATTGCAAGCTTTGTTTCACTCTGGCTCTAGTCAATTTATCCAAAGGGAAATTTGTACTGAATTTCTTTCATGAAATAAAATGGCAGGAAAGCTACCAAATTTGAATCTCTTTACGATAACCATTTTCTTGACATACTCTGCGATGCTAACAATAATTCAAGCCAACCCGACAACAACCGCTCGTTCCACAAATTCTACAGATACTTCGGAGCTCGATAGGTCACTAAATGTCGGAATTCTTCCCGTATTAACGGGTCTGTCTAACTAAACCTCACCTAAAAATACTTAATGGATCAGTTAATTACAATTTTTCAAACAGGGATGCCATGTTTCACGGCGTATAAGGTTGCCTGGTTTCACTCCAGCACGGGAGAGCATATCCGGTGTCACTGTGATCTCAGCTCCTTAAAGGAAATTCCACTCTTTTCCGCCCTACTGACTTGGGATTGTGACCACCTCATGGCGACGACGACACCAACACCCGCCGTAATTTATGTCACGGTCACACCCCCGAAAATAGTCGATTCGCCAAAATTTACCATTCGATCAGATCCCACGACGAAATCATCGCTGGATTTTGATTACGATGTGTTTAATCTGAGGCCCAAGGAAAAAGAGGAAAATGTAGAACATATTTCCACCTCGACTCAAAAATCTGAAGGATTCGGGTTAAACGATGAGACTAAAAATATGTGCAATTACTGCGTCCAAAATTGGCCTGATGATTCGTACAAGTGCATCCCCGCAACAACATTGGAATGCTTGACGGAAATTAAAAAGTATGAAGGGGAGCAAATTCCAGTAAATTGTATGAGCGATTACGCACGTGTTTACACAAGTAAGGAGAGGAAGGCGTGTCTCGTGGAGATGGAGACGCAGAGGATTTACATGATATTTTTTGTCTAATTAATTAGTATTTAACATACGGGGTGATACTTCAATAAAGCATTATTTATTTATTTATATTCCACTAATTTTACGGCTTCACTAATCTTGGGTTTTAGACATACAGCTGAACTGAAAGTCTTCATCAATCGGTCTAATTTAATCAAGAGACAATTTTTCGAATTATGATATGTTGTTCATCTTATAAAATTGGCATCCATGATCCATCGCTTATATAAAACCAGGACTTAACCTATCTACATACATGTGTATATTTAAAACTCAGGATTTGTGTGCATGTTTTAAAAAACATCAATATTTAGAAGATGCACATATTATTTTCGTAAGTGTAACAGTTACTTACAATTAGCAGGCAGAAAGCTATACCTTAATTATCAACAGATTATGTACAGATTAGTAACGATATCGTGCATTCCAAAAACTGTGAAAAATATATAATACGCGTCCTTTTAGAAATGAAATCGACTGATCCAATATAAATTTTAAGCGAATTACAACTCCGTACTTGCTTAACTTGGTGTAACGATAAATTTTTTGATTTATACAACCACCTAAAATCAACCGATTTCTGGTAAATATCGCCGAACATTGAGAGCACGACATGCACCAGACCAACGTCTAAAGCGAGTATAACTATACTAAAAATTGTCAAGGGAATGGGCACATACGTCATCCTTATAACCAGGCAGGATAACGCTATTGAAGCCAGAAACGCTAAAAACAAGCCGATCGATACAACATAATAGTGAAAATTACTTGTTAGCGTCGTTAAGATTTGAATTTTGCGATACTCCAAAAAACTTCGAGCAAATTTAGATAATTTTTTTCCATGAAATTTGTGTAATTTCGTTGCAGAGTTTAACAAGATACTAAGATATAGCCCAGTGTTACACATGATGATTGGAAATCCCAAATCTAGCAGGGCGCAATGTACGACAAGGGCAAACAGGAGGCCACACCTTAAAAGAATTTTAACCCAGGGCGATAAAAAGTGGACGGGACGAAACCAAAAATAGGTCGGATCGATATTGTGGCGAAATATTGGAGTGAAACTGACCGCCCAGGGCATCGTAACTATGGCAACCAGGAATATGTGGAGAAATAGTCCGACCTTGCTTGAATCTGAAATTGTTAATGCAAACTAACATATTAACAATTCCTCAATTGCTTAAATAATAAATCTTCACCGAGTTTTGATCCGTTGAGCAATGTCAGGTTGTTTAGCACGAAACAGATTTCCTTCACTTTGAACACATACGTGAAAATTACGGTTGCAGCGATACCAGATAAACCGCAAAACGTTTGCAGAGTTATTGTTGCGATGATAGTCATTTCGCTGTCTTTTTCATACGACACAGTACTTCGTGAAGCGTCATGTAGACCAGGCTTAAGGCACCATGGATGACAATATATGCCATAGATGCAGTTTCGACAGTGGCGTGGGGTAAAATTTACCTCCTCGCCAACTAATGTATTGGGGGTATGCACGATTACTCAGTTTAGCGAAACGTTGCAGAGCTTCGGGGGCTGTGAATGTTGGAATGTAAACTTTAAAGTCAAAATTCATGGTTTTAAAATTGATGCCAATTAATTTGTGAGTTGTGTGCAACCTGCAATTGACTGGGTTATATGTACTTATGTATGGATTTATACACTTATCGTACATACATATATATTCAGCAAAATAAGAATGTCTGATAACTTACAAGAAATGTAATGGCTTTAAAAAAAAGGGAAATCTAGAATTTCCACATTTCCTGTAGTTTAAGACAAATATGTATACGAACTTTTGAGCTGTACGTGCAAAATATTACTGAAGTTTTTCATGTGCGATTATATGGTCGATTATCTAAGAGATATTTAAAAAAGAGTCGAGGGACGTGTGCATAATTTACATAAATATGCATGTACCAAGCATACCAATAATGCCCAAACATAATTTCCCTAAAGTAAAAAATTATCAAAACCACATTGTAAGTTTAAGAATGGCAAATACAAGACAATTAGTATGCAGATTAGCAGACATTTAGACTTAATTTTAAAATTACACAGATCACCAATCACTAAAATTGGTGAATGACATGGGACACTCGGCTTTCACATACGCTTTTTACATATGAAAAATGAAGTATTAACCTCATTGCCCTACTTTTTAATGTGTACAAAATATCTGGTTCTATCTAAATATCGCACATCAGGTTAATTTTACATAACTTTGTCCCTTGCTGTGTAAGTATTAACATATGTATACATTAAATGAATGTACTAACAATGAAACCTTTTTCCAAGCTACACCGGATCGACTGGCGAGTTATGTCAAAAACTCAAGCCAAAAATTAGGAGGCACATAACTCCTATCTTTCCGTTGAATGGCCACTTTGAAGAAAAATATTGGCGATAATTGTAGGGCTGAAAGCCTACACGACGCGAATTCCATCGCGTCGGCTAAATTAATTTAATTAAGCAGTCTAGACGAGGTCAGAGACTGGCCTGGCCGTGAAGGCCAAGTAAGTTAATGCGGGTGAGATACCCGCAACCCACTATATAAGGAGCGTCCGAGCTCGGATTTCCTACCACTATGTTTTTGACTCGCGACGAGTCAACTCCCATGCACATGTATGTATGATTCTCTCTCTACTAACAAGCCAGCGACTGGCACTACCATTGAGGACAGAGGTAGCGGCTCTGAGCCCCCTTCTGCTAACTAATAACTCTTACCTAAATAAATCTCTACTTAGTTATGTACTTTCTGTCCAGTGCCACCACCACTTTCCTGGTTTGACTCCAGTCCACCGCATAACTCTTATACAACACGAGTAGGACTCGGTATAACTAGAGTAGGTATGCACCAACAGCTCAGTTGAGCTCTCTCTCGCTCCTAGTCTCATCCTGCCTCAACACCACTGCTCCATTCTTAAATACAAGGCCATGCTTAAAAGCATTGCCATGCTTATTAACCAGTGAGCCCAAGTTCCATTTATCTCTTGGTTACTCGCTCTCACAGACAGACACGGCGTTCTAACCGCCCGGTCTGTCTCTATATGTAAGTAGCACTCTCTTCCAACTCGCTCCACTACACAGCGTAACGCACTCGGTCGCGCTCTCCCGCAACCAGCAAGGGTTGCCTCTCTCTTCTCAGTGCTCACCCTTACATAATATTGATATAAAAATATTGAGAAAATTGTCTCTTGCTTTTTCCTCCACGGAGCGAGAACCGAGGCGCTCGTGTGAACTTTGACCTTCAATATTTTTCTTCAAAAGGGCCATTCAACGGAAAGATAAGCGGTATGTGACTCCTAATTTTCAGCTTGATTTTTTTGACATAACTCGCTAGTCGATCCCGGTGTAGCTTGAAAAAAGGTTCCATTGTAAGTATATTTAATCCTGGAATATGTATTTTGCGGAAGTTTGATATTTTATTTTTATCCTTAACTTGAATTATTTTCAAAGTTTGTTTTCCGTTCAAACTTACAAATTACAAAACTTCTAAATCGCATGAATGAAAGTTAGTATCGGCGATATCATACCTGCACATGTATCAAGGCAGAGGATATGCACATATATATTACAAAATTTAAGCCCCGTAAAAATGAACAGTATTTGTGCTTTGAAAATTCGGTAGCACAAGTGTTCGTGCAATTATGTACTTACCTGCTTCTGAAAACAGGAAGAAAATTACAAAGTTCAGAAAATATGTAAGTATTTACCCCAGAAACGCTACCCATCGCTAGGATATCAAATTCTTGTCATTAGGAGAGGTTGGAAGATATCTCCTATATGATCTTTTAGCGATATCAATACGATTTCATATAACCTACTATTTTTATCCGCAATAAACATCCTCAGGATGTAACTAAGTGATATCCTCAAGTCATCTCACATAGATCATCGGATGATGTATGTGAACTAATTGGTGTGTTGTCCAATAGATATCGCTGACACTATCCTCAAAACATCCTCACAACATCACTTGGTAGCTAGGGCATCGCTGCAAAAGTTATCCTCCAGACATCCCTAAAACATCACTAATGCATTTTTTCCGCCATTTGCTTTTTGTCATGTTTACTTGGATTTGCTATTTCCCACCCAGCAGCGAATTAAATAGTTAAATAGCCCATTGACCCAAATTACAATAAGTGATTCAACGATAAATTAGCTCAATTCAATTTCATCATGAGAAAATGCATTGTTGGTAAGAGGCGCATGCAGCAATTGGCAAGCAGAGCTACACTTCCCAAGACTGATAATACCAAACAAACAATACGAAGTGATGTCCCGGTTGATAAAGACAACCATGTGACAATAGGAAATATTACCGGGTACGAAGATATTGAACCAGGAATTGGTAGTGAACTTGACAAGCACATTAGTGATCTCAACGTTTGCGGCGATCAGTTTAGAATAGAAGAAGAAAGTGAAATAAGTGAAGTTGAGGTCGAAGATATTGAAAGAGATTTAAAAACCTGGGCTCTTTGTAACGCTGTAAATCAAAGTCAGTTCACGGCGTTGCTGAAAATTTTAAGTCGTCACAAGTGTTTTGAAAAAATTGCGCATGACTGCAGAAGCATTCTTAAACCTATTAGTGCTAATATACAAATTACCGAATTGCCTCCTGGAAATTATGCACATTTTGGAATTCGCCCATATCTTCAGTGCTTGTCTCCATCAGTGGTTCCTGGCCTCCAAATAAATATCGATGGATTGCCAATTTATGAGAGCAACAATTTGAACTTTTGGCCAGTGTTGGGACATTTTGTTAGTCTTGAATATGATCCTTTTGTGATCGGAGTGTATTGTGGTGACAAGTAGCCTGAGTCGCCAAGAGATTTTTTAAGTGCATTTATTAATGACGTTAATCAACAATTGGACGAGAATAAAATAAAAATTCACTCGTTTGTGTGTGACATTCCTGCCAAGGCCTTCATAAAAAATATTAAAGGTCACAATGGCTACAGCGCGTGTGAGAAATGTACAGTTGAGGGAAGTCATATCAACAAACGCATGTGCTTTGCTGATCAGAATTCTACTTTAAGGACAAATCAATCATTCCGTGAAAAACTTGACGATG